CCCCCCTCCCCAGTCTCCCGTGTTGGACGACGTGGAACTGGAACTGGAACTGGAACTGTTCCACCCGCCCGGGGCACACTCTGAACATCCTGCAAGCATACAGTAAACAGTACACATGTTGAAATATCTTTTGATTGCAGCTTTTGAAGTGAAGACCTGTTCTTGGTAGAATCTGGGATTTTCACGCAACAGCATTCGCATTCGTAACAACATAGGTCAATGGAAGTCCTCAATGGGCTGCAGGATTGAATCCCCTGAACTACGTAGGACTCTATGAAATCTATATATAGGTATATATGTATATATATTATCTTTATATTCCGCTTTTCGCTTTGGGCCAGGGAACGCGCGTCATAGTCGCCATGTTTCAAGCAGAAGTCAAAGCTCCCCTCACCACTGCGGCGAAATGCATCCTGCATTTAACCCAAGCAGAAATACGTGCACGTGCACAGTGTGCACAAAAAGTGAAAGAGGAACCAAATGAAAAGGGACGACCAATGAGCCAAACCTCGTTATCCAAAAAGCTGGGGCACCTGTCCCATGCATTTGTTTGGAAAGACTCGCACGACTTGCATGACTCACTTTTGTAATCGTTTATAGTGGTTATATAAATGAGTTACGGATATCTCAAGACCTGGGATACGTTTCCCATGTCCATGTTGCACTTGCCTATTGCCTATACTGGTGATTAAACAGGTTTTGGCCCTTCCCTTTGAGAAATCTACCGTAACACCGCACTCCTCGCACTCAGGTAGCAAGGCGGAGAGGCAGGCGGCGGCGCTGGCACGGCTCCGGGGGAGGCGCGTTCGCGATTCGCCGCGGGCCAAAAGGCGGCTGAGTTGCCACGGCGAGATCTTCCAAGTCCGGCTTGTTTCTACTAGCGAACATTGTTACTACTAGTAAGGCACTTGTTACTAGAAGCGATGCACTTGTTTCTACTAGCTTCTTGCCTAGAAAATGTAGGTCCTGCAGACCTGTTGATGCCCAAATGTGATGCAAAACCATGCTGAAGGGGGGGTTGATGCATCAGCAGTTGACATTAATTAGGACATGTTCGGAACTTTTTTGGTCCCGGGGATTTTCCCTTGGAATTTCCGCATTTTTTTTGGTCCCTTGGAGATTGGTCCGCTTCTCAATTTTCCTGTGGTCAGTGAGAATATGACTCAATGCCTTTGCATTCGGATTCTGGATCATGTCCAGAGATTCTATCAAATCTTAACACCTGCAGAACACACCGCACTCCGGCACACCGGTTTTGGAGCTGAGTTTGTTCAATGTTTTTTCCAATCGTTGGTCCAATCTCATGTTCCAAAGCATCCCAAAATACATGTCCAACAGCCTCTTTGGGATCGTTGGGGTTTGTTTTGACCGGAGAGCCAACTGCTTTGACCGGAGTTCTTTTTCGCTTGACTTTGTGCCTGTCACTTGGTCATTGGCTTCGCACTGACTCGCGACGCCATATCTTTTTGGTTCAGGAAGAACTTGTCGCCACCCAAGCCATGCGCCTTGGACGGGCTGTTGATGTGTATTTTGGACTCCAGTAATTAAGGAAAGGGTGATTGGTCTTGGTCGCTGAGCAGCGGCCAGTGCTGTCTGAAGGGAATCGGTGTCTCTTTTCCTCCGGGCTTTAACCTGACACCAATTCGATCCAATTCGTAATTCGTGACACATGAAGGTGCATGAATGGAAAAAATGGGTGGCACGATGTGACTGTATCATCAATGCTCCCTTGACTTGATCAATGACGGTTCCTCTAATTCATTGTGAACTGGGCCCCCGCTTTCGCTCAGAGAATCCCAAATGCATTCTATACGTAGTATGTGAAGATTAGTATATCATGGCATATTATCCGCAATAAATGGACGTACCTGTCATCAATTGGTTTTTGTGATGCAGGGACCTCCCGGTCTGACACTGGTAAGTGGACCATGGACAGCCAGTTTACACAACATGTCGCAGGCTGCTCCAGCAATCACAAGCAAGCCATTGTCCACTTTCCCCAAAATAGGGCACATGGCTTCTGATTGATGGTACCATTTGACCAAATCAGGATAGACGCAGAGTACATTTTCAGTGTCCAGTGCAACCCTCCACATCCGTAGACCATCATCATCCTGCAGGGAAAGGTCGACCAAAAAATGACAGGGCATTCTGCTAGGACCTCCACGAATCAAAGAACGAACACCTCCACATGTCGTGACCAGTGCCCTCACCTCCTGAACCAAAGCCTAGACAGGAGATGACGTTGTCTTAAACATACGGATCTAAGAATTTCAACGACGCCGCAGCTCTCCGGTCTGGAATCTTCTAGCCTCCAATGGAAACATCTCTTCACCCTCAGATCATCGGGTTCTTCAGATCGAGTCGGGACACGAGAGCGAACACCCGCCAGACCGCCGAAGCGACCGACCGAGGCCATTTCCGGGAGAAGAGCTCGCGCTCGCGCAGCCTGGAACGGCGCCGTGAATCGGTGCGCTGGCGCTGAGGCGACCCGGTGCCCGGTGCGCGGGCGGCCGGGAATGGAAATGAAGACTAGGCGGTGTGCTTTTCAAGGAGTTCTAGGGCACACCCTGGCAAAACAGAACCTCCTGAGTCGTGCGTTCGATCGTGGTAGAGAGTGATCAAGTTGGTCGCCAACATGCGCAGGTTCCGAAGGCAGGGTTGCTTTTGTGTGAGGTGTAGGTGCCGCCCAGGTGCAGGTAAAGCTATTTTGATGGTGCCGGATTTGGGCGATTGTGGCGCCCAGTTGGTGTCAGATTGATGGGACGTCATGGGGTTTGCTTCCTGTACTCAATTTCTGAAATGAGGAGGCCTTGTGCCGGGCCCCCCTGACGGACTGGCGAACCGCACGCGCGCTCAGGTGGGGTGCTCGGAGCAAGAAAGACCTGCAAACTTGGAGCGAGAACAAAAGTGACAGAGACATACAGAGACCTTGGGACAGAGATTGGCTGGATGTCTTCGCTTGTTGACATGTGTTGACCCGTCCACGGTGGAGTAATAGTATATATATATATATAAGGCAAACAAAGATAAAACAGGCATAACTAACGAGGCAACGTTTTAGTCTTCAATGGTTTGTACAATTTTGTGTGTCAATTGCTCGAGGTCCTCGCGTTTAGTCAATGAATTGTCCTCGTGTTTCGGCCTAAAGTACTGGTCCACCATGACATAAAGTCCTGGTCCACCATAACATGTACCGCATAAAGTACTGGTCCACATTCCTCCACCATCACACCAGGTCCACCATTGGTTGATGACTTTCGGTGTTGCTTTGGTTTTGGTCTTCTTTCTTCTGCCAGATCGGTTTTATGTATTGTAAACATATATTTGTGTAGTAAATGTATGTTATGCTTCAATGAATGATTGTGTGCAATGTGTTTATGTTTTTTTTGGAGACCACGTATCTTTGATCCACACCCACATCCAGCGCCACCAGGTTCCAACAGGTTTAACGGTGGCATTTCCTAGGGTGAGTGAGTGGCCGTGTGACCCTTTGTTGGATGCAAGGGCTTTCCAACGTGCTGCGATAATTGCTTCGAGGAAGGTTATACAATCTGATCAGTCTTGGCACCCAATCAATCTTAAATCTACTTGGCACGCCGCAGGCCAAGTACTACTCCGAGACTTCTGACAGTCGTTGCCCGAGAGTGCACGAACCCGCAGTATCCCGCGGTATGTTGTTTGGTGTTCACCACGCCTGTCTACAACCAGGTGGTTTTCCACGTCAATGATGTGTAAACGAGTGAAGTCCCCCAACTGCAAATCTGGTGACCTGTCCGAGTGCACAGGGGCGGCACAGTGTGTGGCAGACTGGTAGGCATTGAAGAGAGCTTAAATATGGCATGGGCAGTATCCTGTAAGTTCTTGCGTAGACACTCAATAGTCTCATTTGGGTTCATGTGCGCATTTTTGTGGCCCTAGGTGCCAGCGGGAAATCCTGCTTGTTCCTGTTCCTTATTCCGGACATGCACTACTCATCGTTAGCCAATTTTGCGGTGTTTATGGTTCATTGGTTCTGGCATTGACAGAACGGTTTGTGTCAGGGGGCAGGGCAAGGGGGACGGGGGCATGTGGGTGTCGACATTCTTGACTTGAGGGTGAAAGTTTGCTCGACCCTTAAATACATTCCACGACAAGCCAGCTTATGATATATGAAACTTGGTTAAAGCCATCAAAAGCACGCACGGCAAAGCCATTTGAGGACTGGGGATGCCACAAGAAAATGCATGTAGACCGTAGACCATGCGTATGGCGCTGTGATTCGACAGGTGGTGCACAAAATACCTGAGAGAACTACAGATGCAATATGATGCAATGTCCGATTTTTAAGAGTTCACATCAGACCGAGTAGTAACACTTGGAACCCCCAAGGGGCGGCAACAGGCATCTTCAAGAAGGGTTCTACACCAAGAGGGATCGGCCACACCAGTGACCTGCCAGTGATCGATTTTGCTGGGAGCTTCAGTGGGTATAACAGAGGTGTCTTTCCGCCGACCTCTACCGACCATTGAGATCCACCTCAACTCAGACTCCCCGAAGCTCTGTGGGCCAGCCGTGATTGTTGCGGGTCCGCGAGCGGCGAGCGGCAGCGAGGTTACAAAGATTATGCCGCAAGAGCCTGGGAAGTCGAGGAGACAGGGTGTTCGTTTGGCGTACTCCGAGAGAGAGAGAGAGAGTCTTGAGAATGGTAATGGTGTATTTGCGAGTGGTTTGTGCGCTGTTGTTAGATGTTGTTTGACTTTGTGTTTTGTGTACTGGTTGCGGCATGCTTATTTGTGTTTGCGGCTGCTGCTGCAACTGTCATTGCCGCTGTTCCCGAATGGGTTGCCACAGCTGAAAGGGCAGGATGTTTTTAGATACCGGACCCGGACCTATGTGTGGAAGCATTGCTTAGAGGCTCTCGCTGTCTAGAGGTGATAAGATATGCGCTGACGTGCACGCGAGAGGCTTCAGAACTGCAGGAAGTAGTCCAATTCCAGAATGCAAGGAATGAACTGCATTTGGGTCGACCTCCAGCAGGTAGCAACTTCTCCAACTGCCCTCGCTGTCAAGTAGGATCCCAGGAACCCCTACAGTCACAGAAGGCGCCAATGTCTTTAGCTCTTGGCCCTCCCTCTTCCCACATTACCGTAGAGTATGGCTATGTGATCGCCACAGCGATACTCCGACTAGATCCTTTTTTGGGGGATGCTCCTTGCTCAACATCAAATCCGTTCCTTTCCAACCTGATCCTTTTGGGCGAAGGAGGAATCCACTTGGGCTTCTTGTCAGCACTCATGTCCGCACCATCGCGGATGAGGATGAGGTCGATGCGTTTATTGAGGGTAGATGATGTGATGGGCCATCCTTCCTTTGGCTTCAGCATGATCTTCTGAAGAACATCCGCGTCGCGCGGACGTTTGCTGCCAGAAATCGGTGCACATTCGGACGTTTGTTGGGCCTGAAGAGACAGGGTTTGGTCGCCTCTTTCTGGCCAAAATACCTGACCACAGTCCCAAGAGCACCTTCTTATGAGGTGGCAGCCGGTTCTTATGAGGGACCTGTTGAATGCTGATAGTTCTTCAACGATCGTACTATTTCGGACCGGGACCATGCCCTGCACGATGTGCAACTTACCAAAGCCAGTCAGTAAATGGGATGTCCTGCATGTGAGCTGCGCGGGTGTTTCTCCATCAGCCGTATATATATATATATAGTTATAGCATGTTATAGCTAGCCATTGTTGAAAAACAGGGGAAACATGGATTTTGATCAACACGTTTTGCAAAAGTTCTTGGTGGGAAAACATATAGAGATGAATGTACTGTAAATAGATGTATAAATAGGATATGAACAGAGTCCCATTCAACCGTGAATGTTGGCATTGAGACGCTTCTGGGCAACATTTCATTGTTTAGAGCGGTGTTGCGCTCAGAGACTTCGAGTCCAACATGGCACCACACACCCACGCCCGAGGAAGAGAAGGGTCGCTCCCGCTGGGCAGTGGCTTCGGTGTGTGGAAACGGCTCGACGGAGATGGCCCATGGGGGTCTTGGGAGATCGGGCCCAGCAAGGATCAACCCCAGTCCATTTGTCCAAAACAAGTCCAGATGGCTAAAGCACCGCCCAGTTCCGAGGGTTCGGACAGATGGAAAGGACGTCGTGACCAGAGGGGGAGATCAACGATATCCATGTCTATATACGAACCACTCGTTCAACCACCCGAAACTGGATTCTCAGTTGGTGCTACTTTCCGTCTCGATCGTTCTGCGTTCGGTTTTATCTCAGTCTAGTCTACCCATGGAGCTGGCCTGGAAGAGGCGACCGTGATGAAAACTGATGGGGTACGCATGAGACGACCGGAAAAGGCATCTAACGAGTTGGACGGCTGACGAACAGTTCAGAATGGCATGGAGTTTAGGTACAGTGCCTGGCTGCCTTACATGCATGCCTTATAAAGCAGATGCAATATGATGCAAGAAGTGTCTATCGCGTGCTTCATTAGGCTCGAAACTAGGGTTCCCTCGGCAAAGAGTGGTCGAAGTGAAAATATCCTTAGATTGCTTATATGTTCAATAACGCCCCTTTTGATCACATAACTAGGTCTGCAACGGAGTGGGGCCACTACTACCCTGGGTTGCCTAGCAACACAGCTTCACATGGGAGGTCGAGGCAGTCCAGGGTTGCCACTACTCGAGAGTTAGAACTTTAAAACCATGCAATGCAATTTGTGGCGTTAACCCTAGTGTTAACCCTATACTTGTCCACTACTTTAGATCAATTTACTACGCTCGCTGGAGAATAGAGGGCCTGTCCTCGATTGCTAGTCGCCGGAAGTCTGCAAAGCCAAGCGATCTCGAGAGCGCAACCGACCACCAGGCTTCTTTCCAATTTCACATGCTCAGCTCAGCAGTGAGGTGAAGCAAGAGGCAAAGGCGGCGCAGCCGGAAGTGAAGCCTGCCGCGGAAGAGAACCCTGTACGTGAATGGGCACGCACTGTCAGCCAGGCGCCCACTGTGTCTTTTCTTGTCACCCACAGGGGTTGGCAGCATGGCTTGAATGCACATGCCGAGAAGTGGACCCAGTGGAGGTGTTTGGTACTTCGGGGGAGGAGTCAGGTCTCATGCTGCGGGAGCCGTGCGGCACGTCGCATGCTGTGAGCTCAGAACCTGGCGACAAAAACTCATACAAACTCACTCCCAAGATCCCCCAAGAACCAAGGACCAAGGTGAAAGTAAATGACTATATGATCATAATGACCTGGCCCCGTGTCAAGATTGGAAGACGACCTTCTTCCGGACAGCCCGGGTTTCGACATGTGTCCATCAAAAGCATGTGTCGGACGGTCATGCCCCCCGGCCCGACCGAGATGCAGATCCCGCATGACCTGCACATGCGGAGCAAAGAGCTAAGGCCATATTGAAGAGCCCACCGCATGTTCCTCAAGACCTGGAACCAACATGAGAATCATGATAGGAATATTAGAGGAATACTCCAAAAGAGAGTTTCCATTAGGTGGACACATCGGACAACTGTGTTCCCATCCCTTCCAATCGAATTCCTGACTCCTTTTTTGGGATTCTCTTGGCAGGTTTGGGCACCAGTCCAACCGAAGGTGCAGCGACACGACCGTGCGCTCCGGTCGCGGCATTGTTTGTGCGTTCCGGATCGCGTGGGTCGAACGACCCAGAAGAAGAGCCTAGAATATCTTCACAAAATGCACCATTATAGATGCACTACATACCATTAGGATGCACTACATACCATTTAGAAGTCAATCGATGTCATGTCATTTGATGTCATGTTCGTCTCCTATAGGCCAGGTTCCTCCCGCCTGGGAGGGCGCTTCAGGATGTTCGTGGTGGTTAGATGCTGTGGGGGAAACCCCTATAGGGCCCTACGGCCCTACGGGTTGCAAATCCGAGAAACCGGAGAGACATTGGCAGGTGCAGTGACAGAGTCCGACAGTGAGGGGGGTGGAAGGGCAGCCTAGTGAGTCACCCTGATCTTGAACTCGGGTGGTGGCATCTCTCAGGTGGACGAAAGTCCCTAGTTGCTGATGTGCATATGCATAATGGAGCCATGCTGATGATTGCCCAACAGGAAAACGTCAAGTCTTCCAAGACAAACATGACCAACGTGCGGATATATGTCCAATGTCCAAGGTATTCAAGGTATGATTCCCCTTCGGTTTTCACGACTGGACGAGGCACCAAGAGTTGCGGTATGATATTGGCCAATGTCCATATTGCACTGAAAGGGCACCCAAAGGTCACTATACATTCGTCCTTCCGAAGGGGCGCTTTTCGTCGGCTGAAACGAATTGAGCACAGGCGGAAGTTGAGAAGCCCATGGAAAAGACTTTGGCCCTTGGGGGACTTGGGGGGGTCACTCGTCCGATGGGCTGGCCGCTTCGGACGATGTCACTCTCTTTACGATGTCCGTGGGCCCTTGGAGTCAGAACGTCACCAGGCCACGTCCGGATCTTTTGGGGTTTTGATCGCCTTTGGTTCTCCATTCCCGGCCAAAAGGAGTTCAGTGCCAGACGGAATGTGGAAATATGTGGAATAGTCTCAGTCCATGAGCTGGAGATTGGCGGATCTTTCAGTTGTTTGCGAATGATGCAGGAAATCATCAGAACCCTATAGAGCTCCAAGTACCTTCTAAGGTGTTTGGGGTGGGTCCGAATGTGTCCAAATATCTCCAAATACCTTCTGAGGAGGTACTTGGAGCCCTAGGGGAAGAGACCTAACCTTTGCCGCAGACTGTGGTGTCTAATATGTGACTCCAGCTGCGCCATGAGCGGCCCACCAGTGTGTCGGGAGAAGCCTGCTTTTTCAGCTTTTCAGCCACGAGGCTGGCAAAAGCACATGTATGTAGAAACATGCAGGAACAATCTCCTCCCTCTTCGCAGGGCGATTTGTCGATCTTTTTGCTTTGAAGCTGGGGTTCATTGACAAGAGATCCGCTGCAGTCGCGCAGTAGAAGCAGGTTCTACATATAGGCAGGGCACCCATCCTGAGAACAATGTTGACAAACAATTTGTTGCACCGTCTCACCGTCTTTGAGAGGCGGCAGACTTGTTGTCTACGATTCGTCTAATGTGTGTGCATATAATATACAGTATACATATGTGTACATATGTTACATATGTACATATTTATATATATATTTATGTTATCATTCTATATAATTTGTACATACTTACGTATGGGTTATGCACGTTTTACAGCTCACACCACTGTACTCGCAAATGATTTGTGTATTCCACCGCTTTGTATACTGCAACTACCCCAAAACACTTTCCTCATCGTAGGTACGTGGATCCTGAGGTGTCACTGATTCCTATGGAAGAAAATAATATAAAATAGACTCGTGATAGAATATATTTTGGAATGCTTTGTGCTCGTGCTTCAGCACGGCTTCATACCCAAGCCGTGCCTCATCGCCCGTACCCAAACACGCTGTCCGACGAGGTCTGGATCGCCAAGGACGTGGACCCCAAGGTGCGACTGGAGACACTTGGACACGAAAGGACACTCGGCGATGGACCTCCACGGTTTGAAAACGAACCGCAGTTTGTCATTCCTATATACGTCCACATATAATATGGCAAGAAAACATACATAGTATAGAAGTTCTTTTGCCGTGCTGGACATAATTTTCCACGCTGGTTTTTCAATACGTCAAGTGTTTCTCAGGTGTTTGCCTTCTGAGAGGGGTAGTCGAGGTAAGGGCAGTATATGGCATACCCATGATCAAGTTCTTTTGCCACGCTGGGTAGATGGCAAAGATGGATATGAATGGCGCCCGGCATGTTTATTGTATTTATTGCAATCTACTCAGTACAAACAAAAGGGCCGACCCAATCCGGCACAGCCCTCCAGCATGATGTCAGTCTTGGTGATTACATCCTATAGTACATCCACTTTCGGACCTACCCATTTCCAACCAACAGGGTGTCTACCTCTACGAAGCCGCCGCTGGCTTGTAAAGGAGCAGGCTGAACTCTTCTTTTGGAGCAAAGTGAGGTGTCGAAATGGTGGCAGAATCCCTGCAAAAGCTTGGTATTTGTATAGGGGAAGGGAAGGGAAGGGTGCCTGGAGTAGCATTTGGGGCCGGGATGGGGGCAGATGTTTGGGATACTTAGGAATGGATTGTCAATGTCCCTTCACCTATTTCAGGGCTGCTCCAACTTAAAATAATCATACAGCCATCAAGCAGTCACTACCAAACGACACCAGTTTGGTGGAGTTGGAGCGAAAACCACACCAGCGGTCCATCCGTGCCCATGGTTGAAGCAAGCGTCTCGGGCGCTGAGCCAAGCAACTTTCGGCCATCTCCATCCTCCAGATAGCCAGCTGATCCAAGGACGAAGCATGACAGCTGAAGCCGGGGTGTAGAAGTAGTAGAGGAACCTCGTTTTCCCGGACGCCCCCGACGTTTTTCTTCGGTGGACCTATCGAAGTCGGGTCCCTTGACCAGCCACAGGCAGATGAGCCGAAAGAGACCAAGAAAGCGAAGGCTAAGGTTACTGGGTGGTCGTTTCAGATACTGTATGTTTATGTTCAATCTTTAATATCATTGAACCATATGATTGAACCCACTGACTCCACATTCTTCGAGTGAGTTGAAACGAAATCACGGCCCGTGGACGGGTGATTTCTCCGGTCCTGCGGTGCCTTTGCCCATGGAGCAGGTAGCAAGTGGCGGGCCGTATTGATAGATGAGAGTGTGTGTTTGTGCGCACCTATGAATTTGCACCATGTTTTTCTTGATCATTCTTGATACTTTGTGTGGTTGGTTCGGGGATTCGGGGTATTTGCCCTTTGGACCCTGTGATCACGCCTATCTATTCAGATCCATTCATGGTGTTCAGAAGAAAACGTGTGTTGGTCCATTTGCGAAGACCCGAGCCAGTTGATCCAATGCTCAGGCAAAAAAAGAGGAACCCAAGAAAGAGGAACCCAAGAGAGAGGAACCCAAGAAACTGGAGCCCAAGAAAGAGGAGCCCAAGAAAGAGGAGCCCAAGAAAGAGGAGCCCAAAAAAGAGGAGCCCAAGAGAGAGGAGCCTAAGAGAGAGGAGCCCAAAAAGGAAGAGCCTAAGAAGGACGAACCTAGGAAGGAAGAGAAGAAGGAGGCTCGTATGGGGGCACGGGGTTCCTGGATTCTGGGATATCCCTTATGGTGCAACAGCGACAGAGATTATGCCAAGAACATCAAAGAACATCTCAGAACCTGGGTATCATTTTGTGAATTCAGTGCCAATTCATAGGGCAGAGGCCAAAAAGGACGAAGGACTGCCAGTCGGTCGACCAAGAACGATATTCAGTCGATCTAAGAAGACCTGGAGCAGTCCTTATTTGGGCTTCCATTTTACCACAATATGGGTAGCCGTCATATGCTTCATATATTCAGAGCAGACCAATCCCAAGACAAACAGTTTGACATAGGTTTACGCATTGACATTCTACTGGCCACTTGCTTGAACGCAGCGAGAAACTCGTCCGTCCATTTGTTCTTCGAGGACGGCACGGTTTCGTTTTTGGGATTCGCCCACGGCACGCGGAACCGGACGGGACCTGTGGATTCTGCATGAATGGCATGAATTGGGCGATTCTCCACTCATGACCATCTTAGGAACTGGTGTTCGTCATATGGTGTTCTGAGGACCTCCACAGGCCAAAACGACGACTTCTTCGTCACCTTTTTTCTGGTCCGATCTTAGGAACTCCACTCCATTCTGAGATGGGAGTTGAGTCTTTGGAGCTGTGGAACAAACAGAATCAATACTACTGGGACCACTGGGATTTCATTCGGGATTTTAAATCTAGGTTGCTTTAGATGGGCGATTTCTCTGCCTGGGCCCGCCAGGCAGACCCCACGGAGGCCGAAGTCAAGGTGGAGGTGAAGACGGAACCGCGTTGGGCCAAGAAGGGCACGAACCAAATCCAGTCAGGTGCCGGTACTGCAGGGGGTTCTCGATCGGTGCCGCGTTTCCACCGGTGAAAGTGCCGCTGGAAGGGGCGGAAGTGGGGAGGTCTGGAGGAGAACGGTCTGCGAAGGGCTCTTGTCTTGTCAGGACCAGGTTGAGCTTCCAAGTCTGCACGAAAATCCAACATACCATAGAGGAGGCTGCATGGGTGGCTTTTCAATTGTTGCAGAGCTCAATTGCATAGTTTGCATAGTGGTTGGCCCATTGCCACACATCAAGTCTTGCTGTAGCGACTTTCAACGTATATACTGTACTCGAGTTTAAAATGTTTTATTGTCAGATTTGAAGATGATCAGGAATAAATATGCCTTGGAATCCATGTCCTACTTGTGTGAATCCATGACCCGGATTGGCCTAGTTGACTGGCATTGACTGGCACTGCACACAGATCACCGCGGTTCCAAGCCGCAATACGAGAAGGAAAGTCCAATGTTAGTTTGTGACACGGATCAGTCACAGTCGGTCAAAAACCAAGAAGCAATTTGTTGGAACATAGAGGTTTCAGGGGAGTCGCTAGGGGTGATGTCGAGGACATGCTTTGATGATTTCTGCATATATTTATTTCATTCTCTTCTCGCGTTGTTTGTACTTTAGTCATGCTTCAACCTCGTTCCTGCGGAAAAAGTCACTGTTACCTCGTGGACGCTGAATTCTTCCAACAACTGGGACTAGGTGAATTCCACCAAACGGCTTTCAGGGAACAGCTGGGAACCCAAGGTTGGACTGGAAAAAGACATGTTGGAATGTTGGAATCATGAAACCAGGAGATTGTTCTTGGCTGCTTTGTGGATTTGGCCAGAGACCATATATGAAACCATCCGACATCCACTCTAGATCCTTTGTGACTAGTCGATCATCATCTGGAAATTCCTGGGGTCCACATTCCCGGTTTGGTTGTTCAGGCGGAGGTGCCTCTTTGGCTGACCCATGCTTGTTCAGGCGGAGGTGGCAACAACAAGATGCCAAAACAAACTCCAGAGGCCGCGGCGCTCGACGTGCGCTCGACGTGACAACGGTGACGTGACAACTTCGGTGACCCTGTGAGACAGCGACACTGAGAAACAAAAGGACCATTTCTGGCAGTGGTTTTGTGTAATTGTTGTGTGCAGTTTTCTGGAATGGTTTACCGTTGACTTTTTGTCAAGCAAACTAGTGGTAGTGGTATGTCTGAAAATGAGGAGGCTCTCCAAGCAATGTGGTGGAGAATTTGTTTCTGAAGCCTTTTGCTGGATGTTGTTGCTTGCTAGGGCTGCTAGGGCCTAGCTAGGGGCCGCACATGCGTTTTTCTGCAGGAGCAACTGAGCAACTGCGCCTACAGCAGCAACAACTATATATATATATATATATGCCCCTAGGGCTCCAAGTACCTTTTAAGAAGGTGTTTGGGGTGGGTTTAGAGGGTCCAAATATCTCCAAATATCTTCTGAGGAGGTACTTGGAGCCCTAGGGTACTGTAACTCTATCATCTAGTTGAAGGATTAATCTTCCTCCAGCAAGAAGCGGACGACTGTGAACGAGATGGACGTCTCATGTTCCAGAAACACAGGACTAACTACTATGTAGCCCTAACATCCCAGGTAGTGCAGACAAATCTGTGCCTCAATTGGTTGTCTTTCAGACCATGTCAGACCTACCTTCGGTCAAACATCTGTTGGGTTCTTAAAGAAAGGACCTGGTCTCAGACCAATTCCGTGTTTGGGATGGTTTGAGGTACACCGGTACACCTAACCAAGTCTGCAGCCGCCTGCGCAGTCTGGGGCCGTTTCGGAAATAGTGGCGATAGATGGAATGCACCAGCGGACCGTCACGGGCTCTCATGTGTGGTTGATCCTTAGCTCCAGGAAGGCGGTATGCAGATGGCCTTGTTCCCTGTTCCCGTCCGATGTGGAGCGACTACTTCTGGCGTCAGGGAAGACACATCGAACTCTTTGGCGCATGAACGTGGCATGGGGGTTTCTTCGTGGATGTGCCATGTTTTCATGGGTTTGGGTGGGGTAACTGATCAGGTCATATCGGGTCATGGGACGTGACCGTCGTGGCCTCTTCAGAGGCCGGCCCCATGCCCGTGGGCCCGGTGAGCGTACAACGACCGGATTCCGGTGCAGTTGCACCCGCCAGGGGCCCTGGTGGGCGCTCCCTGCAGGAACGAGGGACGTTGCAATTTGAAAGCAACAAATTGGGACTAGGATTGCTTGTGGTCAATACTTTGATCAATGATCAATAGTTCACCCGGCACAAGAAAGGGTATGAAAAGCCCTGAACACATGGGCATCGAACCGGAACATTCATGGACCCACTACTATTCTCAAGTTGTTTAATTCAATGACCAGGTTGTTTGCCCCAGGGTGTGAAGAGAATTGGTGTGACCACTGCATGATCATACAATATTTTAGATTCTACTTTCATACTCATGGCTTTGTCCAAGCTCTCGCAGTCTAGCAATGCTATGAAGTGCAGATGTGTCGCGAGCTCCCTTGCTTCCCGGGACCTCCAGGGCAAGCAGAACAGGGAGGTGGTACAAGAAACAGGGCTCGCATCTTTGGTTGCTGGAACATACTTATAGATACAATGTATAGTCTAGTATAGTGTATGTGTATCTATCATATACACCTACAGTATATGTTGGATCTTCCCCCCCTACACATTGCTACACCGGTTCACTATGCGGACCACCTGTCCGCAGCATGCCGTGTCCGCATCCTCTCGGAGGAAGTTCTCATCCGCTAAGGCGAGCAAGCTCAAGTTGGTCAACGTTTCTCAGGAGCCAATTCTCGCGACGAAAGGCGCCTTCCAACACCCTTCCGGTGGTTGAACAGGATAGCGAACGAGAAGCAGGGATTTTTGAATGTGTTCCCTCGTTGTCCGAGTCACATCAGTCACAATAGAGAGAGAGTGTAAGGTAGAGCGGTGAGACTTCGTTTGCTTGACATTCAGTGCTGGGAGCAGTATCTCTTCAAGCGATCGATGGTTTTGACTGTGTGGTATGTTGACGTGAATCTGTAACATGCCCATGGGGGTTGCGCCATCTATGTACTTTGGCCGATGTAATTAGTTATTTCAAGAGTTCACAACTTCGATTTCTCAGATTGCAGAGTCCCCTCCTTCGTCTTTCCTTCGGATCCCACAGTCGAAAAGAAGGGGACTTGCTGAGCAAATGGATGGCCGCCTGAATTTAAGAACTGGCTCAATTTTGAAGCTGGTTGATGTCCTATATATGTACCTAGAGAATATGTTTTAATCGGTTTGATTTTAAATCTGAATATCGCAATAAATCACCTACTCATTTAAAAAAAACACAGAACACAGCACATACACATATATAGTCATATAGTTAATTAATATATAGTCAATATATACAGCAACTCTTCTGGGCTTTGTATGTCTTCGACCTCCACTTACTTTGGTCTTTGTCCCCCGGCCCATCCTTGGCATGAGGTGACGAACGGTTGGAGCTCAAACAGCGGGCGGTGCCCAAGCGGCGCCCGAACAGCCGCTTGGGCCGGACCGTTCCGTCGGATGGGGCCGAACATCATCGAAGCATCCGGTCCGTGGTGAGTGGTCTTTGGTCAACTGGTCCGCCGTTTCTGGGGCTTTTGTGGGTTCACAGCCGGCACGAAGAACAGTCTGGTCAAACACATTGGAATTTCTGGGGATTATTCCGCCGGCCGGCTGAATTACTTGAACAGCAAGGCAGCAAGACCTGAGGGCTACCCGAGGGCGGAAACCGATAGGGGCCAACCCAAAATACTTTTGGCATTGGGGAAAGGGGACACCAAGAAATTTTGTCCGCCACTAATGTAATGTCATGTCGTGGTCAATCAAGCAGCATTATCCACCCTTTGTTTTGCAACTACGTGTGCCAAACTACAACTTACAGTTATAGTTCAATATAGTCTATATACTGTATATTTATTAAACATATTTACTGTCATATCACTCCAACTGACCTCCAACCAAGCTGCTGAGTGAGAGTTTGGAAACGTTTTCAGTTTTCACCTGCCTTTTTGGCGCGTGTGCGTGGAGACGGCGTGAGGCTCTCAATTTGAAGAGGCGAGGTGACGAAGGGCCAGGGCAGGACTTTATACACCGTGTGAAACACCTGGACATGCAATCTTACAGAACTTTATATAGACTCTAGACTCTAGACGGTATTCTCACTGTAGACACCTTCACAGACCATCATTTACTTCGGGGAAGGCATCAATTTGTAGGAACGAAGTGGTTTCGAGTCAGTATTGGTGATCACTTGGTCAGTTTATGGGCGTTGGACATGTGGGATAGGCTACAGTGAAGTTCTAATTCCTCTGTGGACTTCCCCCTTGCCCAGACAATCTCATGCATCATGATACCTGAAGAGAAGGGGGCACGTAGTAAAACAAGTGTTCCACAAGTTCCCGTAATGATCAGACACTCACTGTGAGAGATGGTGAGATGTGGTCTTGGCATTTGGAAAGAGTCTTCCATGGAACCTGGCAACCATTGTAGAGGGAGAGAGTCTTCCAGTCTGGTCCATGCCATCAGGTTATATCAGGTTCCATGCGGGTCTCTTCCCGGTTGTGGTAGGTGTTTGGAAGCGTTTTGGCGCAGTTGTACCGGGTGGTGTGTCGTTGAGAGTGGCTGCGGCCCGGCGTCATGGGGTGTCTTCTCATTCGGCATGAGCTGCTCACAATTGACACTCCCGGCTCAGAGATGGAGAAGATATAGGCAATCAGATTTATGTGAGAAGATGTGGTAGATGTGATGAGAAGGTCAAACTGAGAGCGGCCCACTCTATAAAATCCAGAGACACCCTTTGTGAAGACCGTTTTTGATGTTCAAGGGGCGCGGCGCCCATCATCACCCATTGTGGAATCATGAAACTGTCGTGCACACATGGATCCTATAAGGAGGGTAGTAGGTGCCATGGATTGGAGAGTGGACTCAGAGTGGACTGAAACAACATGTTCCCAAAATTGGGTGTGTACTAGAATAGGGAGACATTCCAAAGACCAACTGGCAGAATGAGCATATATAGACTAAAACCAGTTTAAAACCCATTGGTTGGGAGGTCCCCATATTAAAATACAAGCCCAGATCAAGATCGGCACATCATCACCCTTTGTGTTGGACGCTGCTCGTTGCCTTTCGCGCCTTTAACGACGTGTAGAGTCGAGAGAGCGACAGAAAGAGCGCGGACAAGAGCCGATGTCGGCAGCAAGCTCACCATGTCAAAGTCCTGTTCGCCAACGCTGCGCCAGGTGAGCCAAAGAAATGGCATTGAAAAAATATTTTCAGTTGCCAATATCGTCGGATTCTTTGGTGTAATTGTACCTTGCGTAGGGAGATGGGAACCATGGCTCTGCATGTTTGTCCTTGACTCCCTGGTGTTTTTTGTGCCGAATATATTGAGGTGTGGCTTGTCCTTGGACACTGCATCCCTGCTGTTGGTGTGTGAGCACAACCTTTGCCTACATTGTGCGGCCCGGTTTGGTCTGGTCGTCAGTTCTTACGATTCGACGAGACGGTCCTCCTCACGCATCTACATAGACTGGTGTGTTAGGTTTGACCTACATAGACTGCGGGATCTATCACCCCATTCGTAAGGATTACAGGATTCTTTTGGGAAAGACCTTTGCCATCGTCCATTCGGGAAAGAGGCTTCAACACCACCGGCTGTGACGTGTTCGTGGATTTCCGAGTTCCGCATCGGGTCAGATCGAGACCGGCATGTTCTGCCCTGAGTAGCCACCTAGGCGGCCCAACTCTTGGAGAATCACGGCGCAGCTGGACATCGGGTGGCATGCAAAGTCTGCCAGGCTGTCACGGAGGTCGATACGTCTGCAGCTACCTATTTGGAGAGTTTGCTGTCACCCAGCACTTCTCGGAGAAGAGGTCCATATGGCAGTGCGACTTGGATGTCAGGCACAAGTGCAGTGTACTGTTGGAAGATGTTGGATCTATATAAAAGTGATCAGTTCGGATCATGTGCTTTAAATATTCAGCAGTTGAAGTCATGTAGAAGATTCCTTTCCATCATCCTCGTGGTCTCACCGGTCTCACCCAGCTGTCTCACCCTCCTAACGATTCATTCAGGAGATGTCCACGCAGCTGCCCTTGGCCGGATCTCTAAGCCCCTTCACCGCGGCTGTCTCGGTGTCGCCTGCGCTTTCGGCGCCGGACTCACCGCCGCGATCGGGCACCGGAAGGCAGCGCTGCGGGCAATGTGAGGAGCGCGGTGCGGAAACCGGCAGTGGACTGATGTGACTAACCCATGCTAACCAATCTTTAAAAAATACATCATGCATCATCGTGCCATCATGCCATAAAGCCTGACCTTCTTTCCAAACATGGTCGCCATGCTAAATCCAAGCGGGGCCAGAGTGGGGGAGCCTACTTTTTTGTGAAACTAAAGAGTTCAAATTCACTCCTGGCTCGTCCGAGGTGTGCTTTGGATGAAAATATAGAGCCCGAAATATAGAGCCAGCTGTGATCAGCTGTATGCTACACTGTTTAGTTTGGTTTAGTTTAATCAATCTGTTCACGGTGAGGCTAACATGTAACTGCTACAGAGGTGCATCGAGCATTTCTCAGTTTTTGTCTTTCACCCGCCATGGGCAAATTAAAGCTCCATGGCCATGGACCCCGGAGCTTTCATTTTTCCCTCCTCATTCTGAGGAGCCAGCTGATCTCTTGTGCTCTCAATGCCAAGAAGTCTTCTGCCGACGTTGTGGGACTGCAGTGCATCAGCGGGGGCGGATGGCTCGCCACCAGCTCCAAGCGTTGAGTTGCGAGGCCGAGGCCGCGAAGAAGGCGACCCCCTCGCCGCGAGAAGCTCCGAAGGTCCAAACCGATCGGCTCGGACGCCTGACGAAGATGAGATCGGATGGACCTGGAGGGATGTAAAGCCCACGAAAGCCCGTAAATCATTCAGAGCACTGGACGTGTAGCCGGGACCAATGCAATGAGTTTAACATAATCTCTCTCTCTCTATATATATAGTAACTTTAAGTTTTATATAATATAGTTAACCAATAATGATATTACATCCCTTGGGCTTTGTTGGCAAACAGCCCAGGAGAGAAGTCCCGCTTGCCCAGCACATTGCAGAAGCTGATGGCCCTGAATCAATTGAGTCGCACATTCTATGCTTGCCCGGAGCATCCTCAGGCAATGTTGCTCAGTATTGCTCGCTCCCTTTCCTACAGAAAAAGAACATAAAAGAACGATATAAAAGGATTGTTACAACGCCTTTGTTCCTGGTGGGAGTGTTGCCGTTTTGATTTTTGGAGTCTATGCTGATGGTTGATGGCCTGCGTGTTCATTCCAGGAGCCTTTGAACTACTTCTGCCTCCAGTGCCAGTCGGAGTGCATTTGTGCCGAGTGCTGCTTGCATGGAAGGCATCGCGGCCATGAAGTCCAAAGCGTCTCGGAGGCTGGGCGAGGCATCGCCTCCGAAGTGGACGACTTGCTGGAGGCGCTTTGCTCTCATCAGGACGGCCCCGTTAAACCTTTCTCAGCTGTGACCGATCTCCAACCCCTTTGGATCGCAAATGGACTACATCGACCCACCATATCATGTACTGGCCATGCTTTCTCCACCGATCGCGTTAGCGGGCTCCACGAAAGATTCAGGACACTCAGACTGACACCCGCAAGCGCCACGACCGAGACGACCGCCTGACGCACGGTTGACAACGCAACTCCTCCACCCAACCCGCAGCCCAAGGTTTGGAGGGGAAAACGTTTTCACGATCGGCCGGAGCTCGGGCGTTTCCGGAGTCGCTCAGAGACATCCGAGCCGGCTGGCAGTGAGAGTTACCTCTTGCACCTCCCAGACGAATTCATGGAACTTTCAGCTTTCCATAGTCTCCATGGACTCCGCGAATTTCATGCGAATTCAGAACTCCGTTGAAAGTGAGGGGACGTGTGAAATCTTGATGCCCTGAAGATCCCCCCTCCAAAAACCACCCGAAATGGCCACATGAAGGCTCTTTCCTCCCAGAACGTCCCATCGGTTCGCCCGGGTCAGTCCTTTTGTGTCGTCGCCAGGAGTCCTTGAAGTCTTTACTGGGCCGTATCCAAGAGTTGCGCCTGGAACTGGCACAGGCCCTGGCTGAAGCGCAGCAGCAGATGCAACAGCAAATGCAGAAGGCCATCGCTGAGGTGAAGAAGGAGGAAGCCAAGTGCCTCCAGGAAGCAGATCGGAGACTTGGATTGGAGACTGAGCAGCTTTGGATCTCTTTGTTGGATCCGCAGAGTTGAAGGCAAACAATATCGTTGGATGAGAATGGATGAGATGTTTATTCTTTTTCAACCTTCAGGCGGGCACGGACAGTGAGCCATAGTAGGAGCTGCCCGATGATATTGTTCCCGCATTCCTTAGGTGTTCGAACATCACCCATTTTCCTGGCACTGTGAAGGTGCCAGTTTGTGTTTATGTCGAAAAAAGAGCCCCTTCCACATATGGGTGAAAAGACTCAAACCGGAGTCAAGATTTTATATAGGAGTGCTTTTCGGCTTCTTTCTGGTTGTTGATGGATCCTTTCTGTCACACTGGACCTTAGAAGTCCCAAACAAGACGTCCTCGCTTGACCTTGGACGAAATTGGGGTTTTGGTTCAGGGTGCCACGTAACATTGAATGGGTCATTGGGCGTTCTTACTTGACTGTGCCTGATCCCAGGAGCTTTGACATGGCCAAGTTGTGCCTCGATGAAGAGACCTCCATCATTGCGATGCATCAACAGCTCTCAAGGCCCCACTCCATCGTTTTGATCCAACCTGTGTTCGCACCCAGGAGCTATATGGCTTGCGGTGTTCACCCTGTTCTTTGCAATATGAGTTTGATCCACAGCATTCCGTTCTTTTCGTTCTCCTAAGAGAAAGTGGTTGGGTATTTCGGCAGAATTCCCTCCATCGGGAGAGCTTATCCTAAGCATTGAAGCACCACTCCACCTCGTGCGAACTATTCACTTGCAGAGCCATACCCCGAGTGCTACATCGCTAGCAATAGTCCCTGACTGGCTCGAGGTCTCTTGAATCCGGCGATGTGCTGCAAGCTTTGATCAGCTTTGTCAAACTCCAGGAAGCCATGGCAGTGCCTCCCCTAGACGCTGCTCATAGCGCTCAACAGCTGAAGATCCAACAAGATCACTTTAGTGAGAAGTCTTTGATCTTAGACCGGGCCCTCGAGCGTTTGAACGGGCCAGCAGCTGCTACAGCCGCCATGCCACCTTTGCTGAGGGTCTCCAAGACCAGCCCCAAGTGACTGAAATGGGGTCATTTGGGAAGAGCCTGAGGACGAAAAAAACAGATGCGCAGAAACCGTATGCGTACGCATCCGTTTCCGCCATAAATCTCGGCAAACCGTGAGCTCCTCGAAACCCACGCGGAGCTCGGACGGGGAATTCTGATGGAAAAGGGTGATGAGCGTTACAAAGGGCTTGGAGGCCACGAGCCTGTCACAGATTGCATGCACGATGCAGTGAGCCCCCTTTTTTGAGCAACACCCTCAGGGCCAGCACATACCTGCAAACATCCTGAAAGGGTGTCCGCAGGTTCGGAGGGCCAAACGAAAACACCAAGGATATCGATGTAGGTACGAATAATCTATACGTGTCCAACCCCCCCAAAGCAATGATTTTGTTTCTCAAGAGTCTATCTAATACTAGTCCGATGCTTGGAGATGCTATATAGTCCTTCAGGTGTTGCACTATCCACCAATCCACCAGTGGCACCCATGAACCGACCGAGACATGTCCCGGCAGGTGGAGCACAAAAGCCCCTTTTTGGGCTTCCGGATCGAACCACCCAGGCGGCCGAAATCGGGGACGACAGCGGGGATGGTCCACCGATCGATCCACAGAAATCCGGCACGGTCACCGACATCTGACATCTCTGACGTTTGTGGTGATGGGAGGCACTGGAAGGAGCTTTCAAGTAGGAGAAGTGGCGGTGCCATGTGTCAGTCAATGTGATCCAATTGCTCCCCCTGGAGAAGGGCATGGAATTCTGGGTGGACACAACCAAATGATTCCAGTTCCTTCTTATTGGAACGCCTGTGGAGACAGAACACTGCCATCCCCGGGATCGAACCGTTTGTGGAGGATTGTTGGCACCACAGCCATGCTGAAGTTTCTAGGACCTGTCCAAGTCAAACAACATCAAACAACTGTTCGAGTCGAGTTCAGCCTTTTGAGTGTTCGACTCGACCATGTTTAGACTTGGCGATGCCACAGGCCACGAACGAAGTGCTATAGTGACTGCTGTGGTGGATTCGTGCGGGTGGCTTCGTTGCGCGTCACGCCCTGAATTGGATCCCAAAGTTGGTCTAGTCCTGCGGGGCCTAGGTGCTGGCCATTTTCTCTAGTGTGACACTGTGACACTGGTGCAGCACCACTTGCGCAGCACCATGCTTTTAGGGACCAAGAAGTGGACCAAGATTCTGATCGCGGCAGGGTGCCACTGCCGCCCATGAGCGGAGGGTTTGCCGACGAAGTTCCTCAGGCGTGGGCCGAAGAAGATCCGAAGTCCGAAGAGCTCGGTTGGAGCAGCTTAACAGATGTTTTTAGAAACACTGCTCCGCAAAACCTCAGATTTGACGAGTAGGCACGAAAGATCGTGAAAGGATCGACCTCCTTCCTCGTGGCATGGGAATGCGTAAATCCAACGGCTCTGCAGGGGCACCTCTATTTTAAACTTAAAGCATGTCGAGTCGTACCCACTTTAGACCTGTTGTGTAATGAGAGACTTAGAGCCAACATGCGGTGTACCATGGTACTGTACACTCGTCAATGTTCTTTTCGCTGTGTGTTGGATATAATTCTTAGGACTGTTAACGAAGGCGCCCTCAAGCGGTGTAGTTCTAAATATTCCCACCTTTTTCAGCACGCCATGGCACAGCTGACGCATTTGATGGGTTCATAGGGCGGCCCAGTGGGTTTTGTCATTTCATGACGCTCCGATTGGCGCAGATATAGCCACATGCCAACAACCGGTAGCAGAATAGCATTTGGACGTTGAGACGCTTCGGAGGTTTGTCAGTGAGTTTGAGGCGCAAATTGTATAATTTCTATGTTAGTTGGAGGAGTTCCACTGTCACATTGCTCTACTGTTCATATTGCAAAAAATGGTGGGATAGAGCCAGGGCGCTCTCCACAATTTTAGGCTGTGCCATCTCTTATGATTGTAGAACTAGTCATGCTGTCAAGGATTCAGGGATCATATTATCAGTTGTGTTCGGTTCATGATGTTCTTCATAATCTGAAATGACTGCGGCCCCTCAACATATATGATTATGAGGGGTCATCATTCGTGATGTTCTGCATAATCTAAAGTCAATAGATGATGACCCCAGCCCCTCATCGCCTCACTCCCTTGGCCGGCTGCTTTTTTTTCACCGCGTGCGGAGGAGAGTCAGGAGAGGCTTCAGAAGGCCACTGGGGCAAAGAAGGAGATGATCCAAGAGGAGGATCACAAGCAGGCGATGGGGGCTTGGATTTGTCAGTGGGATGTGGGATGGGAAGAAGCATGAGATGATTTGATTTGGGTGAACTTTGCTGGCGGTATGGGGAAGGTGCTGGAGAGAGAAGAGAGAGAGAGAGAGAGAGAGAATATGAAGCTTGGCAGGCCAAAGAACAACCGTGTTCTACCCTTCTTCACTCTTCAGCGTTTTTCTTCGGGCTTCGGTTGAGTCTCTGGATGTGGCATGATGTGGCGAAAACTCAACATGGACGAAGCATGGCTCAAAGATCAGTTGATTGCCAGGCCGGGAAGTTTATGGAGGCCTTGAATGCCATCATCAAAGAAGGCACAGACCCTCACCACATGGGCCAACCAGAGTGGTTTCGTTTGGTTGGCTTGTTGGATTGGTAGGGTTATGTTGGCTTGTTGTAGGTTTGCTTAGCCAGTTGGTTGCTATCCTTCAAGCAATTTGGGGGATGGGTAAACCCAACCGCTTCCCCACTACTACAGGAAAAAAACAAACAGTTTAAACTCAGTTTACACCAACCAGTGGCGACGATCCTGACCCTGAAAACTGGTTGGTGGAGCCTACACTCGGACCCAAGGAGGGACGTCAGGGTCGTGAGTTGGACCGGGAGTGCCACCGGGAAAGCCTCCTATGGACACTGACGGGGGAACCAACGGCGTGGTCGCGCGGACGGCCTGTTCGTCCCGCCGTAGCCGTGCTGCGGATGGGTGACCCACTGGATATAAGAGTGGATAACTATTAGTTGTACACATGACGTGCGAATTGTTTTATTGTATTATACCTGGTGGCATTGCGTAATTAGTGACTTCAATTGGATGGACCAACGTGTTGGGAAATTATGAAATATTACTACAATTTTGGCTTCCTTGGTGTTGTTTTTAATGTGGTTGGTGGAGCGAGCAAAGACCATTAGGAACAATTCCAACATTTCTACAGAGCTTCATCACCTTTGCTTCAGTACTACGGTTGACAACTGCAGGAGCACGGTGCCCTACTCTTAACTCATTGGAAATGAGTCGCACACACAGATATATATATATATATATATCTGTGTGTGTGTGCGCGCGGGTGTGTGTGTGTGTGCGTGTGATAAGCTATGATGATTGGCAGTGGTTGCAACCACCACCCCTGCTGTGCCCAGATTTGGAGCCGGAACGCCAGTGGTGACTTGGACGCAGAAAGCACAAGTTGAGCTCGGAAACTAAATGGGTGCTGGTGCAGAAGAGCCTGTGCTGTTGTTGACCCAGCTGCAAGTGCTGGTCGGGCCAGGCAGTCATTTCTTGCTTTTAAGTGGGGGATTCGACCCTTGCAAGGTTCCAAACAGGCCAAAACTCCTTCTTTAATCCCGAGTACCTATTTAAAAGCGGTTACTAATTAAAAAAAGTCAGGTCAGAACACCCCAAATACGGTTTATATATGTTTGTATTTGTTTTTTAAATTACCGCCCTTTAAAGCCGCTACTAAACTACCAACATGGCCGAGTTTGGAGGAGTTCTTTTCCAATCAGGTTCCAAAAACAACCGTAACTGCCCGCCTCGGTCCACACTGTCTATCCACCATGACACACCGTGTTTACACCAGCAGGTTTTCCTTCCCCCAATGGCACGGACTCACGCAAATGCACTTTCCACCGAGGTCACGCAAAACCGCATGGCACAGCGACATCACCTTTCAAAAGCTTTAGTTGTTAGTCTAATGATGAATTTCTTACTATTCTAACAAAGGTTTTTGTAGGGGAAGGGAGGACCCTTCGATCTGGAGGTTTTTTGAATTTTTGGTACGAGCTTAATAAAGGATTTTATATAACATTTTCCTGGGTGACTTTTTGGTTTTGAAGCCCTTCCCAGGTGACCCTATTTTGGATCACCCCGATTTCAAGGACCCCTATTAAACAAAATAACCGAGGTTTCCTTATTGGCGGGGGCCGGCGTGTCTTTAATAGGTGGACAGGATTCAGGTAGATGTTGAGTACTCAAAGCTTATTCACCATCATCCCAAGTTTTTGTCCTGTGACTTGTGGCACAAACCAAAAGACATAACATCACAGAACCATTTGGGTGGAGTCCTTTGCATTGCCTACCGGGCCGGGCCCGAGCCTACCCGCCCCAGTCATGCGAAGCTTTTCGGGAGTATGAGCACAGGCTTCGGCACACAAGGCCTCTCTGAGTGACGGGGGAACGGTGTTTGGGTCACCAGCGATTCTGGGGACGGTCCGCAAGCGATTCTTGGGACATGGAGCGTTTGGGTCAGACGGTGGTCTGGGGGGAGACGGATGGCCGGATGGTCTGGTCGGTGCGGCTTGCCAGTTTGTTCGCATGCTCAGTGGCTGGGTTTTCATGTTGGTTATAGTATGTTATAGTTGATTTTGCTACTGTCCATGGACTTTAGGTCCAAACAGGGTGCAGTTTGGCAGGGTCACGGGTGCTCATCTCATGGGCCTGAGGTCACTTCTCTAAAGAAAGGGGGAATTCGGATTCCCATTCTTTTTAAAGCTGTTATTTTGAATTTGTCTTTTGGTTGTTTGTGTATATGAGTGTTGAATCTTGTTTGTCCCATCATCAAGACGTCGCAGGGTTCTTCATTGAGGGAGATTAAATTGAAGTAGAGTCACAGCCCAATAGGGAAACGCAGACCGCGGCCGAAGATGCATGAAGAGCATTCCAAGATATCCTGGATAGTTCCAGTTGTTTCATGTGAGGCTGCGACTTCGATGTGGTCATTTCAATGGCCGGAGAGCCTAGCAGGGCCGACGTTAGGGAGCTCGAGCCACGGTGATTCCAAGTGTTTCCTAGCTAGCTGGTGCTCAGGAGGGTGCTAAGCTAAGGAGGTGGGGTTATCCATAGTGGTATCCATATTTTCCATGATAGAGGGAGCCAAGGAGCCAATGACAGAGAGCTTTCCAAGCCCTTGCTAGACTCCTAGACAGTCTTGCGTCATGTTGCCGAAGAACCATCCCAGAGAGATCGAGACCACTAGAGATCCTACTCCGCTGAACACACCGGAGTTTGGTGGTCGAAGAATCGGCATGAATCGGGAAATACTGTACTAGAATAAATCTCCTCGAACGTGTTTTTGTTGTTTTTGTTTTGATGGCCTTCTGTGGCTAATTTGAGACGTTTGGTTGCTGGCTCCCGTGTGGCCCGGACATGCTAACCCGAGCAAAGGTCGTGTGGAAGGGACAGAGACCTATGGAAACATTATTCGTTATCAAATTGATCATCAATATCACTGCGAACGATGACCTCACCAAAGACGTTAAATGGCGAGAACGGCGGGGTCCTGCATTCGCAGAAATCCCTCGGAAGTGCCATGGGAACTCAGAGCCTTTGTCAGTCAGGGCCACTGCTTTCGTCGCTCTCACACGCCTAAAAAGCGGTGTCTCTGTCGGGGATGAATTGCCGTGTAGCCAAGGAGCCCGAAAAGGGTTTGCTAGTGATTTTTAGTGACATGATGCAAAGTCTAGGCGTACCAAGATAACAGATAGATAGTTATATAACATATATATATATATGGTTGTTTCTTTTAATACGGTGCTTGGCACTTTAGACAAGAGGCATGTTGAAGGTTATTTGAAACATAGTCAGAAACATAGGCGGAAACATAGCTGGGAGACATACCTGGAAACATACCTCCTCAAAAGCCATAGTTGTCGAGTTGATATAAAGCTTGATTCTGGTTTCGAATTATTTTTGGCTTCAAGCCTCCGTGTCCCAATTTTCTGACCCATGCCGGAGTTCTTGGTTTGGGAAGAGCAGCGGCTAGCGGCCTCTGGCTTTGTGTCAACTTTTGTGTTGTCGGTTGGCTCCAAGAGTCGGTGGATTTGTCGTCGACAAGATCAGACCGAGCTGAACCGGCTGAAGGAGCTGTGCGAAAAGTCGGGGTTGGAAACTCTGCCACAGCTGAAAGACCTAGTGAAAAGTGCAAAGACAGAGAAGAAAGACTCCACTGCACAGGCAGACAGTTCCAAGAGTGCAAAGGCAGAGCAGAAAGACTCCAGTGCACAAGCAGACAGTTCCAAGAGCGCAAAGGCAGAGCAGAAAGAGTCCAGTGCGCAAGCAGACAGTTCCAAGAGCGCAAAGGCAGAGCAGAAAGAGCCCAGTGCACAGGCAGACAGTTCCAAGAACACTTTGGCAGAACAGAAAGACTCCACTGCAGAGGCAGAAGGTTCCAAGAGCACTTCGGCAGAACAGAAAGACACCACTCCACAGGCAGAAGGCTTCAAGAGCGCTCTGGCAGAACAGAAAGACAACGCTCCACAGGCAGAAGGCTCCAAGAGCGCTTTGGCAGAACAGAAAGGCACCAGTGCACAGGCAGAAGGCTCCAAAAGCACAAAGGCTGGCACCGGCAGTAGCTCCACCGCAGTCAGTTCCCCAGGACGCCGAGCACCTTGGCTGACTGCAGCTGACTGGAAGGGCTAACGGGAGAATGATATGGTTCATACACTTTTCTTGTAGGTTTGGCGTGCTGGAAGCCTTGTTGATGGGCACATGTTTTTCCAAAACGTTGCAGCCGACTAACACATGCGTTTCCTGTATAAATGCTTTCCAGCCAGAAATATGCCTCAGGACAACTTCACGTACAGCATATGGGGCGTCAATTAGACATAGTCTTTGGTCGAGTGCGCAACGTGCAAGCAGACTAATTTGAACCGCTTGAGCAGGACTGGAAAATGATGCGTGATGCTGGGAAAGCCGATCCAGATGATATGCTGTCGTTGCAGTTTGTATCCAAACTGAAGACTTACATTGACACCACCTCTGCAAAAAGGGCTCGTCAGCGGACGCGACCTGGAACCGTTAAATTCAGACAGGATCTCAGAGAAGCTGAAGGAGCAGCCGGTCAGAGATTGATGGAACAAGAGTCTTTGTTCCAGAGCTGCGCCAATCACTTTGCCACTGTTCGCAGGCAGAACCGCCAGCGCGAAAGTCTTGAGGCGGACCTGCCGCAAGGCGTGGTTGACATTCAGCTTGATTTCATGCAGAATATGACTTGGCCGTTAGGGCCAGAGGAAGCTCAGGATTGGTTCTGGGCAACGGCGAGAGAGCAAATGACCACTTTGGGATTCTATTGCCATTTTTTTGCAGAAGGTGCTGAGCAGAGACAATACCACCATTACATCAGCCAGATCTTGAATCATGACAGTGCCTTCGCAATCGTTTGCTTGAAATGATTTACTGAAATCTCTATGTTTGACACATCATCACACTGAGCTTTGGGCCGATTGTGGACCTCACTTTAGATCTTATGATCCTTGACTTGCACTAGTTATTGACCACCTCCAGAAACATGCGTGTTAAGGTGCTTGTCCCAACATGAAGTAACCCCCAGTAAATTGTGTAATCATGGCCCTGCTTTGCAAACTCAGGAGTTTTTGTGGAACCCGATCGAAGTGTGCAAAGATGGCTCTTTCTGCAATGTGGCCTTCCGGCAGGTGTCTCTCAACTTCTATGCCGAACACCACGGTAAAGGACGGTGTGAGGGCGCTTTCGGATTACAAAGACGCTGGGTCGCCGATTGGTCCCGCGAGAGCACGATCAGCTCTCTGGAAGACATGCGGCAAGGCATTCAGCATGGGATGGGCCAGTCAATGTGCATAGACCCCCCGCCGCTTGGACCCAGCTACTTTGTCAAAACTTTTGCTCCGCCAAAACCACAAACCATCAAGAAGCTTGATGTGTCAGGCAGCAAATTCAAGATTGAGTATTCTTACTGCGTCATGATGGAAAAGATTCCAGGTGGTCGGGTCCGGGCGAAGAATTTGATCTTTTCCGATAGGCTGGATGGTGACACTATCAGTCCCCTTGTTCACTTGGAAGTCAAGGCGGAGGAAGACTGGCGTTTTTCTCACAGAAAAGAAAAGCCAGAGAAGAAACCACTCAACACAGATGTGTTGCGTCGGAGGCTCGAGTATCACCGGGAAGTGAACCCTCTTGACGGAGTGAGCCGCCGAGATCCCTACTTGAAACAGCTCCTTCAGAGGGAGAAACGCGCTGCAAAACGCAGCGCCAAGCAAAAACGATCCAAGGCTGCTTTGGCAGTGGATTTGGAACTTGATTCTGGATCTTCCTCTAGCTCCAGCGACACTGAATGAGATTCAGCGAAAAAAGAGAGCAATAACTCCTGATGTTGGAGTGGTCTTGTGGTAGCTGATCTTCGAAAGGTTCCCCGAAACATACCTCCGAAACATAGTTTGAGATATAGCCCAAGACATACCAAGAAACAAAGGTCCGAGACATACCTCCTTTTTCAACACGCTTAGTGGGCTACTGTGTTTTAGGAAACAACCATATATACACAGCATCCCAAGAGGTCATGTCATGTGTTCACCCTACACTACGCCCAGGAGGGCCTCCAGAAGTAGGACAGAAGAGGTCCAGATCAAATTGAGAGCTTCGCAAAAACGCAGTGGCACTGAAGAGGGTGCCGGCCGCCGCTGCCTTGCCCCCACCTGGACCACCTTGAAGCCAAGGTGAATGCTTCGGAGGAGATCAATGCAGCCGACATTTTGATGAAACTTAGGACCCCGATTTTGATTTAGCTTTTGGTGCGTGATGGGAGGTGAAGGGTGAAAGGAGTGACACAAAAAACACCAAGTGAGATGAACCGTTAAAGGCGAGGTTTACATCTGGAATGTATGGCAACGTAATTATATATAACATATCGAAACCAGCAAGCGTGTGTTTGATCCAGGGTATCATGAAACAAATCACCCTGTATATGGATTTGTTACTGTATTTGGGCTGGCTGCCATGTTGAGTTTTTCAGTCATATTTTGCTAGTTTTTGTTTGGGCATCGTTAGACGGGGCTGCGTTTTGGAAGGTCCCCACTGCAGTAGCCTTAAAACCCATGACTTTGCTTTTGATCCGTGGCGTATCAGGAAGGGGCTCTACTTCTCCGACTGCAAGCATTTTAGGGGTCACCTTTTCTAATAGCAGTTCCGAATAAGAAACGTCTGAACGACATCCCACTGGCCAGTAAAACATGAGGTATAATATGTGGCATATGATATGGGAAAAGCGCACTCTGGCTTTACGACCCTAAGAAAATCACAGAACCTATGTGAGACAATGATTTCTTTCATCGTCTTTGATGGGTTCTAGAGGCAGGACTTCACAAATCTCTTTAGACAGCTATCGTAAACAACCCCTTGCGGGCAATCTTAGAGAATGAAGAATGATCGGGGCCTGGTTTGCACTGGGGGTTCTCTTGTCTAGGGCAATTCCAGCTGTAGTTGAAGTATTGCTATACATTTTTGGCCACTAATCCGTGGCCTCATGCTTGTCAAAACCCATGTGTACAGTGTAAACTTGATCCAATACAGAATGCACACCTGGGTCCTGATTTCGGACCACCAGGAAATCTTCGAACCTTGCCATCCAGTGTTCTGAACTGAACTCTTCACCCACGAAAGCCGCGTTCAGGTTCGGTCTTTGGGTTGCTTTTTGGTGACACCCTGACAGTCGGGAGAAGTTTCTCGTCACCGAGACCCAGATACATGGTCGAGCAGGAAAATTCTGTTGGAGAAGCCAGACTTCGAAGTAAAGAACATCATCCTGTCAGCGCGAGTACCCATTCTGAGCCTTTGGCTTTGGAAGCAGGCGGGCGACCAATGGGACAAATGCCAAATGGCAAAGCATGGCAAAGCCTCATGTAGGTCCGTAATTTGGTGAGACCCTTGAGCCAATGGATGCGGAATTTCTTGCAGGGGATCCCTGGAAGGTCACCAATTTGCAATAGATAGCTAGAGGGCAAGCGCTTGCTTGACACAGGCCAATGGGATCTAATGGGTCTAGATTTTGACACAGGCCAATGGGTGTAGCTGAAGAACCGCCTTTGAATTGGTCAGATACACACACTGTTTGAACTCACCCAATCAGCTGGCAAATCCTCCGGTGGTGGAAGACGAACGCACATTTTACCTCCAAAACCTGGCAGATACGGTGCCAAGGTAGAGGCCTGGCTCCATGTACAGGAGGTTTGAAGCATTTTGAAGCCAAACATCGCAGGTGAAGGTCAGTGCACTTGTTGTTTTATATTTTTACGGGGTGTTGAATCCAAACATTCTCGCATTTGCAGGATCTAAATGATCATGGTTCCGGTCAGAAATCCATCTCGTTGTGTGGGAACTGGTTCGCCATCGCGCGTCCGAGCTTCAACACACCGGAGCTCCACAAGTGGCTCCTCCTCGTGCCAACGAGCCAAGGAAACTGGAGTATGGCGGTCGCGATGTGGACATTTCTGTGAACAATGACAAGGCACGCCGCGTGTGTTTGCCCCCACACGTGCCACACGCGCATGGGTACGCGCATGGGATATATTATCTATTGGCGTCGGGCAGGGAGCTTGCAAGGAGGGCAAGGTGGAAGATTGGGTCATATATTATATATGTTGCATATGTTGCATAGCCTGATTTGGGGATTCGTGTGGCGTGCAGCAAATAGACACAATTTTGATCAGAACTTGTCACGAGAAAGCTCTGACTTGCTTTTCACAACTAATTTGTTGACCGCATTATATGGGCATGACCTGACAACTGCTGGTGCAAGCAACAGACTAGAGTATTTGGGGTCAGGTTCTTCGACCTCCCAGCGCCGAGCAAATATCCTGACCACCGTGAAGATGCTATTATTATGCATTTGGTAGTATGTCCAACCCAAAGTCATCGCGATGAACCAAGAGACGTCCTGACCACACCCACACCTGAGTTGCGGTGTAATTACCTCGCGTTGCTTGGGTCGTGTAGGAATGTGTCGGATGCCCCTAAGGAGCTCCGGCCACCTGGTGTGGTTGGGAAGATTGTCACTCCGGTGCAGTGGGCGCATAAAACAGCGCCACCCGCGTTTGATTTTCCGGAGGCGCTGAAGAACTCTCGCCTTTTGCACGCCTATGCGCAGCTGGACCCACTCATCGCTGAGCGGGGACTCCCGGTGCACCGCGAACAAAGAAACGGCACATCGCTGAGCGACATGGAAGAACGGACTCTTGCAGGGCAGGTGAAACGTCCAACGGATGCAGGAGTTGCCTTGCTTCTTCTCCGTGTCCAGTGCGAACGGCTGGCCCTTTGGAACTGTGCATGGGATGACCCTCTTTAGGGGCTCCAACCACATATAGGCTCTAAGCAGCCCTAGAGACTCATTGGAACTCATCCAGGCAGTTCTTTGTTGTGCCAGACTTCCTTCCTGAGCGATCCGGAGAAGGAGCGATCCGGGAGTTCCCCAACCCCTTTCTAGACCGGTGCCTGTCAATGAGTGGCCTCGGTGTGGATGCTCAAAAACACGGTGCGTTGCACCCACATCACCAGTCGGCCCCATCGAGAATGGGCCAGTGGGTCCACAGCTGGTAACTAGATACAATCGATGGTTTCACCACAGAAAACGTGCAGCATGCATTGTATGTTGCTGCTGGTTCGGAGTCTGGTTCGGCTACGGGGCAGCGGCGCAAGAGAAGTAGATTATGTCCCTATACCGTACCGATACCTCACCAAACATCACATTTCTCCGAGGCATGAAGAACAACACACCTGCATCGCTGCATGCTACACCTCGACGTCCAAGGTTTGGCATTGCCGTGAAGTTATGGGCCAAAGATGCGCAGCTGCGCCTTGGCTGGCACCCACTGGCGCGGATGATGATTCTCCAGGGCGCTTGGCTGGCGCGCGCCCGGGGACCATGTTCACTGGATTTCGGACTTCAGACCGAAGGATGGGTGCATGGTGGTTCACTTCGACCAGACCTGGGGGTCTCAGCTCGGGGGGATGCCCCTCCTTGGCGGAGACAGCGGCCGCCCAGTTCGGAGCGGGTGCCGAAACTCGAAACAGGGTCTACGGGTATCAGAGTTTCCACAAGCTGGGTCTGTTCCGTCCATTTGGTGTGTATTACAGGGAGCAGTCATTTCGCAAAGGACTGACCTAGCATTAGATCGGGTCTAGAAATCTATCGAGGCACCAGCCCTTTGCATCCTGCTCAAACCTGTGGCGTTAGGGATCATTGCTCGCATGAAGATCCTCAAAGCGGTCCTCAGGCCTCAAGGGTCATTTGGTTCACGCAGTGATCATGCCAGGGTCAGCCCCTTCAAAGGCCTCGGGAGAGAACAAAACCAGCTGCCTTCAGAAGCGTATCCCTACTACCCGGTTTGGAGGGTTACGGCTTAGAGGTTGAAGCTTGGCACGCACTGTAAACATTGTTGCCTTTTCTAGCTGTTCAATTTATTCCATGTCCATCTCTTTGGCGCGTGTGGTTGCCACGCGGTCGCGTGGACCCAGGTGTGGCGCCAAGGATGGGCATCTGTCCTCGCCGCTTGTTGCGAAAGTCCAAGCCACACGGAAGTCGCACGACTGGAGCATTTGCCCGGTGCTGCAGAAAAAAACGCAAGAAAGAGACCAGGAAAAACGGTGAAAGACACATCAGGCCCTTCACATGGTTTCTGGGCGACTGGTGACTTCTTCCGGGACAGTCGGATTGCGATGTCCGGAAATCTGTCCATCTCGCCAGTGAAAGCTGCGATGAACCATTTGGATGTGGGTAGGGTTCGCTTTGCTGTCCTTCTTGGGAAGACCTGGTATCCTGTAGGGGTGAGACCCTTAACATCGCGGTCAGAAGTGGCATGGATGTTTGTGTTCGCCCATGGCTCTAGAATGCACGCTAGACCGCACATTTGCTTGTTCCAGGGCGTTCATGGCCCACATGTTTCCACGCTCTGAAGACCCAGACACGTGACACGTGTCTGACACCGGGTCTTTTCATGGACGGGAACGACTTCCCGGGTCGCTCGGCTGCACCGGAACGATTCCCCGCCCAAGGCGGTACGGGGACAGGAACATGGTGCGTTTCCCGAGGTACGCGTTTATCCTCATGGCGCTCTATTTCCTTCAAGTGGGCAGTGGCGACCAGTGCCTTGGAGTTGAAGCAGTGGAACCAGGAAGTGGAACGGTTTTTTCGTTGAAATAGCTAGATTTAAAGGTTACACAAGAACAATACAAATAAACATGATATCATATGATATCTATATATATATAGAGAGAGATTCAGATCATTATAGATCTAAAGAGTAGAACAGGAGTTCAACATACAGGGTTGAATCCAGGTACAGTAGCTTTGTCCATTAGGAAGCCAACGTCGTACTCTCGCTCCAGGACTCCATGCCCCTCAAAACCACATGTTCATACATTTTCCAACCAAGCCCTTGTTAAAGTAATTCCCTGGAATGTTTTCCTTGGTTGACTGGTTGAGCCCAAACTATCCAAAAAGAGCCAAAAAGGGTGTTCCGCAAGCTACTGTAGCCACTCAATCGTTATCATTTGACTCAATCGAGCTACTGTAGCCTTAAAGAGAATTACATCCGTACGGATACGACCACACGACACGTGCACGACTCAAGAAGAACACATGCATGCACGACACGTGCACGATGCGAGCACTTGGACCACGGCCAACCGGCCGCTTGCGCAACCAGGATGCCATCCTTGCAAGAGGGCCTCGATGAATCCTGGGCCCTTGAATGATGAATTGGGCGATATGGGGCGGCCGTTCAAACCTGGGTCTAGGCGGATTATCCAATCGTATAGGGAGGACAACATGACCCATGAATATGAGTGCAAAAAACATCTGCAGAATCCTAGGAAGCTGGATTCATTTTTCCCTTGACCCACCACTAAACGTCCTTGATTGGTCACCGCGAGCCGAGCCCGCTGAACGTGGGCTGTGGCAGGTCGCGGTACTGGGATTTGGTGGGAGCAGACTGGCTGGACTAATGAGGTTGCATCCCAGTGGTTGGTGGTTTCCCCAGAGGTTCACCATTTTCCGGATTCACCGTGTTAGCTGTTCTATCCACATCTAGCTAACATCAGTGCCCCATGCAAATGTTTTAGTTTACTCAGGTCAGCTGCTGGATAAAAATTCCGGATCAACACTTGATTCAATCTTTTCAACAACATTCAATAACCCCTCATGTGGCTGCACTTTCCTCTGATGAGACCAGCTCCAATTTCTTCAAGGGCACCGGGCACCGAAGGATTCAGCACCAAAAACGTTGTATTTCATCAACTTCAGGGGGAGGATTCGAAGGGAGCGGCGAGCGGCTTCCAACGCGATGTTCGCGATGCTCTACGCAAGGCCGCTATATAGCAATATGAACGAATCTTTGGGACGTCTTTGTGGGACCAATTGGGATGGACCTGCCTAGGCAGGTCGCCCATTGGACATCAACCAGGCACGTCCTGAACATCACTCAGAACACACGAAAATCTTGTGTTCCCAACCGGCCGAGGTGGATGATGAAGAAGTCTTGGCAAAACGAGTCAAGCAGGTGAAGGCGCCAACTGCGCTCGTTTCGGCCGCAGGGAGAAAGGTGGGTTCGGGCAAAACGTGGAAACCGATGTGTTCAAGTGAAATCATGTGTGTCAAGTACTGGATGCGAGAGGTGAAGGCGATAAACATCAACGCATATGAAAGGACATCAATTTTGATCTCAATGATCTATATATTGGAATTAGGATTCTTGCATTTGGCATCTATATGGTGCAGTGACTAGGGCGTGCCTCGTGAGCTCCTTTCATATTTTTTGTACCCATAAAACGTGTCTTCACTTTGCATGATTCGATTGTCAAGTTCTCCGGCAGTTCGAACGATAGAGAGCACTGAGCACAGACCTTTTCAACATGTGGAGTTTCCCCACGGGCCCCAAAGCCAGCTCAAACCGCCGCTACCACTGACCGTGGAGAGCTGACAGTTGAAGAGCTGCGAAGGCGATCACATCAATTCAGAGCTGCCCAGCCTGTGGAATCCACTGCCCAGTTAGTACCGACTAGCCGTTCGACGGACAGTTTTGTCCAGGAGAAGTGGAAAATGACTACAGGCTGGGCATGAGCAGACCAGATCAGACCAGTTAGCTGCTGGTGCGTGTTACTACTTGCGCCCAAATGAGTCACTAGATTGATGATCCTGGATTTGTGGAAGATATGTCGTTCTTTTGGCAGAATTGCCTTCGAAGGACCCTGCTTACTGTAATTGTTTTGTTGACGAGGGAAGTTTGGCCATTCCTGGTCTCTGGTATTGAAAACATATTTATATATATATATATTCTTACAAATATATATGTAGTGAATCTTGCGTTGGCTTATCTGGGACATGTGGAAGATCTTAGGTCTTCAACTCAAGTGGGTGTGCTCTGACATACTGAAAGTTATCACTTTTGGAGCACTGACTGTGGAGCAGGGTTGCCAGTTCTCCATTTCTAAGCGGTTGCTTCTAAGCGTGGTTGGTAGTCATGTTTAGATCATGCACCTTTTAGTCATTGATGGACGAGGATTTGTAGTGGCAAAGTTGTATGGACCTCACTTTGCTTGGAGCTTCCACGGGTGGTATTCCAAGATGATGTTATACAGAGATCCTAGCACCTGGCATTGGGACATTGCTATTTGGTATGTGCGTTACCCAGGTCGGGCGCTGCAAATGTCACATTTTATACATGATATCATGTGTATCCCATGGATATCACACTATCTATTCATTCTGGATTAACTTCATCCATTGGTTTCGGGCCGTCCAGGTGTTGTCCTATCAGCTATCTTGAGCGGGGAACTGTCCTAGAGAGTATCGTTGCCCCCGGCCTCGCAGACGATGTTTGGACTCTACTTGCAGGCCGTGGCGCGCATGCTTGTTTTCTTGCACATGTGGTGCATGCGTTGGATTCTGGATTGAAACAGACTACTTCTAAATAGTATTGTATAGATTTGTATAGTATTTTTCAATATTGTTCACATTCTTTTGTCAAGTGCAAGTTTGAGATTGTTTGGCATGGTGTTCCAGTCGCGCAGCTCGAGTCATCCAAAACAGTTTAAGTTGGGATTGTTTTCCCAGGTGCAGGCAGGTCTAGGTTCCAAACATCAACTGGTACCCCACGGTGGAGATAAAGAGTTCTGGCCCCGCTCGTTCTGCTTAAAGTTAAACGATGGGGGAGAAGAATTGTGAATTTGGAGTAAGCCCTTTCGTACCGACATTCCTGGAATTGACTTTCCATGAGACTCGAAACCTGTTCATTCATGTTCATTCTGCTGATGTTTGCTGGTGATAAGAACGTTTTGGGGAATCAGCAGTGGTCAACCTTGTTGGCCGTTGGGATTGGCGACAGAGACGTCAAGTGGGAGTGAGATATGGAATTCCTTTGGGGATGGGACGAAGCACAAGGGATCAAGCATGGAGAGGTTGAGTTTCGCTTGGGATATATGTATACTGTAGAGTTGAACCCACTTGCATCCAAAACAAGACTAAACAAGTGAGTAGTCCTTATGCAGCCATTTGATCAGCTGGTCATGAACAGATGACCAAATCTGGCACGCACACGCAGTCACAAGTGGCACAAGGGATCAATTAAGCACACATACTTTGTTCACATATATACTTCCGGTAGTCCAACCACCCTTGATATACTGTATTTGTGTGAGCCAATCAACCATGGTTTTCAGTAGTGGAATCACAGGATTCAGTAATCCCCCTTTTGATTTGGTCCAACTTTGCTTTGCAACAGTGACCGCCTTTGATCTACCGGCCCTATGACATGTTTTGTGCAATTGATTAGTTCGCCACTAGATTTGTTCTATTTGCCTTGTGAAAATGTGTGTGTGTTAGATGATGTCAGATGTATATTTGTTTGGGGCCTTTGGTCAATCAATCAACCATCCGATCAACCCCGTTGCTGCTATCGTTTAATCCCTCACCCTGATAACAGCAAACGCTCCTGCTCACGTCTTCCCAAGCTCCCAAAAAAGTGGGTGTATATATATATAACTATATGTATATATTTACTACACAATAGCATAAAATGATATATGGCTGTGATTCAAAACCAGGAGCCCCAATCCCTGGTAGGTTGACGTCCCACATATAGTCTATATATGTCTATATGATCTATATGTATTTCGTTCATAAACTAGGTGGGGAAAGACCCGGGGAGCCCTGGCGCCATGACCCACAGCCATATGTATATATATATATAGGATGTGTATATATATATAACATATACATAATATCATACAATGATTTATCTATATATACACACATAGAATATCACACACACTCATACATACAGATAATATATATATATATATATCATAAGATACTCACAACTCATGCTGGCTCAATGCTAGCTCGTGCGGCCATTGCCCAGACACAGGGGATTCTGGCGGATGGGTGCAACATGCTTCTCCATGAAGAGATGGGTCATGAAGGATTTTTGCTGATTCCAGTATTAGTAAGAAGGATTCAATCTAGACTAAAACTATATAATTAGGATATTCATGGAAAAGCTTTCTTTTCATTCATGCTTTTGGAAGGCCAGGGCTAGGGTTACAGTGATTCATAGTGGGACAACCTGCTGCAGACGTATCCACTGTTTGTGGCGAGGCTTCTTCGCCTTCTACGCCGGCTCCTATGGGCCTAGAAATGCAGCAAATCCATTTGTTTGGGGCACAGAGGCCCAAATCGGGCTTTCGTTCGAGATCCACCTGCTTTGAAACGGACGTGACGGAGCATGGGTAGGGCTATCCCCAGATATGGCAAGTCATCAAAGACAGATGCATGAAGAGCGGCCTTTTGTTTATCAATTATCAACTCACTGACACGTATGAAGAAACCAGGTTCGAAGGTCAGTTGCGTCACTTCAACAACCCGCATGGAAGAGATTGACACACACACACACACACGCACACACACATGCAGCATGCGCTTTTGTGCGGACTTTCCTGCTCTTTCTGGTTTTGCTACAGTATGTTTTACTAAAGTATCTTGAGGACAAAAGAACAGCATATGCTCTTAGCACCATAGCAAAACACTTTGCTCAACAATACTCAAACGGCAGAACAAATCAACAACCGTGTTGAGGGCACTGGGGGTGCCGGGAGGTTGCGGAGTGTCGAGACTCAAGAGACCAGGTTGCACATGCACACATTCCCTGTGAGCACTGCTAGATTGTATATAACAACAATACACCCACAGAAAGCGCACATTGCTCAACACGCCACCAGTTGGACATCTGACCTTCTTCACCTTGGGATCGTCTCCAAGCGCCTCAGGTGGTCTCTATCCGCTTGGGTACGCGCTCACGAAATCTGCAAGCTCCGAAGGCGAAGGAGTTCAGCGAGTTGAAAGGACGAGGCGAGTGACGAAGGACGAGGCGTTGTTTCGCACGCGTGCTTGGCTAGGTCAGGGGGAGGAGGACCTGACGATGAAAGACGTGCGACATCGTGCAACATCCAGAGTCAGGAACCCAACTGTACACTCCGACTCGCATGGAAGTGGATGGCATGGTCCCTTGGAAGACTTTTTCCACTTCCACGATGTTCCATGTAACAGATGTAATGCTAGTGAGTCGGAGCCTAATTTGATATGAACACCGGGTTTGAGGTTTGCTGTTCCGAAGATCTCAATGGTGGTTTGGTGGGCCCAAAGATCCCAAAGACGCCAGCTGGCTGGAGGCTCCTTCGGTTTTTCTAACGGGAGGCTTTGGGAAGTCTTCCATTTGACATGACACATCCTGTGAGGCCCTCCAAGTCTTTTTTCTGTGATGACTTGTAGATATTTGTACTCTCCTGTGGCCCAACTTCTTCTCCCAGAAATTCCATGAGCCAAAAGTCGAGGGAATTCGTCCACCAGTCCCACCTTGTACCATCAGAGCATCGTGGAGTATCGTGGTAGTCCTTCGGCCTAAATCCTGGAAAAAAAAAACAAGGCTATAATAATTCTATAATGCCTTTGAACATTTTTGAACATCCTTCGGTGGCTCGAGGCTCTACACTCCAAACACCATGGTGGAGACAGACGCAGAAGAACCGAGGGGTTGGAACCTTCGGCACCTCTCCAAGGCCACGTTGAGCATTTGCACATCGAAGACCCTGTGGAGCAGAGTCGAAACTTGCGCGACGTGCTGAGGCGCAGTGGTGCGGACTTCGACCCATAGGGACGACCTCTTTGGCGCACGGTGAAGAATGGGTACGACATGGCACAAGTGGATACAATGCTGTACGCAACCACAATGCTATGCAGTTCCTATGTGAATTACTGCGGTTCCTATGTTATTTCTTAATCAAAGGCACATTGATGTGCAGATTCGCTTGCCTGTTTGGGGGACCTTTAGTGTACATGTGGTGACAGTGGGAACGATCTCTTGAGAGTGACAAGTCTTAGCTAAAGTCACAAACTGCCTGTGATGAAGGAGGTTTTTCCATCCAGGGTGCCTTATTAAGTGCCTTGGGGCCGTTCGCAACTTGCGTATTGCTCTATTTTTGTGTCGTTTTGTGTTTATTGGCTGATGCCCGTTCGAATTAAACATGGAGATGAATCAGTGCTGTTTTTGTGCTTGTGAGGTTTGAACATGGGCACTTTCTGAAAACCTCCTCGCATTCTGCGCGTTCCGCAGCCAGGACGGGCAATGAGGAGCTGTTGCTCCAGGAGATGCGCCACTCGCCGCGAGGAGCACGGGATGTTGAGTCCAGAGTCCCAGAGATGAATCTACTTACCCTGACGTGCTGGCCCCCTGGAAGAGTGTCTTCCTCTACCAACCGATGTGGTTTTCAGGTTCCATGTTAGTCTTTAGGGGGGTAGACTCTTGACTCGTTCGATTCATTCTTCTTCTCCTCGTTCGCTTGCAGTGTAGCATAGACATTAACCCTTCTTTGTTGTTTTTGCTCAAGACAGACGGGTTTGGCATCACTTTGAAGGGGTTGGCATGAGATTTGTTTGGACATCCTTTGGGGTTCGCTCGTTCCCTCCGGTGCCTTTCGTTGACTCTTGGGGGTATGGTTGCTCATTTCAAAGTCATTGTTGACAAGCATAGCTTGGCGGTTCATGGTGAGGGTCGACAGGTCGGATCGTTCGGGCAGTTTCACCTTTCTTGACCTGGCCGCCAGGTGAGTCGGCCAGGTTCCAGCTTCATGTTACTGTAGTTGATTTGTTGAAGTCGGAGTGCAGGGTCAAATCAACAAAGAAGCAAATGATCACTTATAAACACATGGTGTATTGAGTATTCACATACGAGCAGATTGATGCAACACACCCCCATAGGCGAAGATTCCAAGATGTTTGAAGTGGTTTTGCACGCCTATTGCATCCCCTCTCACCTTTGCGAGATTTAGCCGAAAGCAACGTGTTCCTTGAACGATCCTGACACGAAGACCGGCGCGAGCCCTGCGCCGGTAGCAGAACACCTGGATGGAGAGCAGCCATGAAGAATCATATGGGTGGCCCTCCAACACTGGAAAGAGGGAAAGATGAACAGACCCGGACCGGGACCCTCCAAAGTACAGAGACAACGGAGACATTCTGACCACCGACCAAGGGGGAACTGGCAATCCCTGTTCCATGCGGGAACTTTGAAGAGGGTACTCTCAATCCGATACAGAAGCAAAATCATGTAAAAATTGGTCCCATATATATATATATATTTTACCCGAAGGTTGCTGGATGAGACAGTGTCAGGCTTAGAGGACTCAGCTTAGCTGAGGTATGATGGATTTGGCTTGTCGACAACATGCTCAGCAGATGATTATAGCGAGTGGCCCTGCTGCAGGAGTTGGAGGTGAGTGGGTTCAAAAAGAGAAGCCCCTCGGTGATTCAGACAAGTTGGTTTGGCACATGGTTTTTTTTTGCTCCGGAATCGCGCATTGCAGAGGTGTGGAATCGCCCAGCGCAAAACCAGGAGAGAAGTCAAGGACATCCTCCCTTCTTGCACCAATCAATCGCCGTGTTTTTCGGTCCCTTCTTCGCCCCTGGCAGACAGTGCATCCTCCACCGTGGAAGGTGTTTTTTTCCAGGGAAAGAAGTCAATACTTCATTCGCTCAGTGAGCCGCCGCCGTTCATGGCCCGCCAACCCTGGTGAAAGACGCCGGCGCTTCGTCGCTCAGCTTCGTCGCTCTGCCTCAAGTCCAGGCCACGCGAAGCTTCCGGACTTTAATGGGAACTTCGCGATGCCCATGGCAACGCCTTTTGGGATGCCCCCGCCACGGGGGCCCTCGCTGCGCCATGACAGGGTTGGAGCGCGCGCGAGGTGGAGGGAGGAAGGATTCGGAAGTCAAGGAGGATTGGGTGGACACTTTGAGAGTGGTTCTGGGTGGGTGGCAGGGTTGAAGGTGAGGTTGGTGATGTCTTCATTTGGTGTGCAGGGTTGAAGGTGAGGTTGGTGATGTCTTCATTTATGTGAATTCAGCGATATGGTGAGGTTTGGTGAGGTTGGTGTCTTGGTTTTGCTGAGTTTTTTTTGGGGGGTTTTGTGCAGTACAGTTCCCCAAGTTCACGTGGAGAACCCTCTCCGTAGACAGGAATTGGCGAGTGAGCAAGATGCCCGGTTTTCCACCTCCTTATGATGAGTTTTTGACACACAGTTGTCCTGACACAACCACCGCGAAAGGCAAAACTCAATCAATTCGCGAAAGACTCGAGACAGCTGTGGCAAAAAGGGATAAAGAACATGATAACACCATTCATGCCAAAGACCGTTTTTGATGGCATTAATGTTCAGACCAACTAATCCAGAGGATGTCAAAGAGTAGATCCACCTGATCACATCCTACTCGCAGATCCACAATCTATGCATGTGCTGTCCCAAAACAAGTTGGGCTTCGTCGCTTCGTCCGATGTTCGTCGTTGAAGCGGTGGATGCTTCGTCTGAAGTTCCGCCCAGGCCTGCGCCGCCCTTTGCACCTTCGATACCCCCGCATGCAGCTTCGCTTGATAGCATGCAGTTCATGGGAGTGTTCTTTTTGAAGTGGTTGCTGTAGTTTGAATGATGGGGGTGGCGTGACTCACAGCATGTAAGTGTAACATCCACAAACACGTGTCTATGGCTAGAACTAGGGTGCCACCCAACACCCTGGTAAAAGTAACGCACATGTCACATAGTCACATAGCAATAGGACATGACTAACTCGTGGCGAGTGCCTATGTCGCATTGCTCGAGCCACGCCCATAGATAATCAGATATGGACTTCGGTGCAACTTCCATTTGTTGATGTATGGTTTTGGTGCCACTCGAGTGGTGCATCATCGTCATGGAAGAAACACATTGCTCAAAAACTAACTACCAGTATTTAAACGACATTAAACAACTGCTTGTGGCCTCAAGATACGTTTTCGACTCAGGCGAAGCATATCCCCTATCAGCATGCCCTTTGGAGCAAAGTCTTTCAAAATGCAACTGTTTTCGTTTCCTCACTGCGGAAAGCATCATACCCCCTACCCGCATTCCTCGGCATTTTCCACATGCAACGCATTCGGCCAGGACTAGACCCAGAAAGCACCCACCCACGTCACCCCCACTCATTCGGCCAGGCGTATGCCTTGCGTAAAAGCCACACCGAGCCGAGCCCGCCACGCGTCCGAACGCCATCCCGACGTCGCGGAAACGCCCAGGTGTGGCACCCGGGCATCTCAGCCGCATGGAGAACGGCGATCCGTTCGGAGGATCGGGACGTAGGCTCGAAAGACATCATGTATGGCTCGAGAGTAGGTTTTTCCACGACATGGGAAGAAGGTCAGAAGGGATATCAAGGTTTCTGAGACCTGTTCACAAGCCGCCGTTCTTTTGCAAGCCTGTCAGACGGAAGAAAATGACCATGTGAGGGCCGCAGAACGATGTTTCCAGCCAGAAGCACAATAAATCAGAGCAACGCAACGATCGTGAGGCGATCTGACGTGACCAGAGGAGAGACCCGAATCAGGTTAGCTCACGTGATACTAGTGACGACGACTTCGCAAGGCGAACTCCTCATTGGGGGTGACGTGACTGGTGACGAAAGGAAGGACTGAGGGTGGCTGGATCGAGGCCCTTCATGGGTTCCACGAGGTCGACCGTTGTGAGTCGTTTGGGTGAAAAAGCGACACGACATGTGGATGCAACGACATGGGCGCAACCAGCCTCCCTAAGCTGTCAACCATGTTCAACCGGTGAACCCCAGCCTTGACTGGGACCAGGCGTGGTCCAGGGAGCAAACATGAGCTAAGCAGGGCTGGTGATGCGTAGGGTGTGAACAGTGGGAAGCTTGAGCCTTCGTTGCGAAGGCGGCGTCATAGCTGCGAGATGGTAGGACCCAGCCAGTGGCCAGATGAGGAAGTGCTGTGGATTGATGAACTGAATCCCCCGCACTTCCGAGATGTAGGAACCTATTTGTGTATGGGAATCAAAGATTTATCAGGAAGGATTAAGACATATCAACCTATAGATAAGAAAAAGAAATATAGTAAACATTAGTAAACAAATAACATATAATTACTCATAACAGTTTAAGTATAGTATATAGCGTGTAGAGTCCTTGTCACTGCACCCGCCAAGCTCACCTGTACAAGGCCCGAGTTGCAAAGATAGTGTCGGAAAGGGTCACATTGGCGGATGCCCTTGCCCCAATTGGATCGATGGCGGCTTCTGAAGCTTTGTATAAAACCAGAGGCCCATTGCTCCACCATGATCCACCCTCAACATCCCTCAACGCCGTTGGCCGTTCGGCGGCGGAGTTCCGAAGACAATCGCGTGAAGTCCCGTGGGGATCGCGGGCCACTGAGGCTTGGCCTTTCCTGCGCCACCTCCCTTCTCAACCCCTGCCCGGCCAAGGACTGGGAGGGTGGAGAGACAGGTTTCGGCCTGGCTGAGGCAGGCTTTTTGGCTGAAAATGCAAAGGTGCTTTCTCCAGGTGGTTGGGAGTTCACCAGAGGAAAACACATGTACAATTGTAGAATAGTGCAAATTGCCAACATGTATTGAGATGAGATTACAATCAGATCGCCATTTTCATTTGGTTGAACTCTTACACTTCGCATGTGGTAAAGTCTAGCATTTTCTCCTAAAATTGAGCAAACCGCGCGTCACACGTATGCATGGGTGCCCTCAACACCTCCAACAGTTGTTCATCTTTCATCATGTTTCCATCACTCATTATGTCACCCTGCCATCTTGCCAGGCCCCATAAACGGGGCATGTGACGGCCGACGAGGGTGATCGGCACCTGACATCCTTCACCGCGCCCTGGACGGCGGTCGACCTGGTACTGAATGCAAATCGGAAGGGTCCAAGAAACGCATCGAGACTTGTATCATGCATGACTATTCATAAATCATTTAGACTCTTAAGTTGATAAGAGCCTAAGAGCCTCCTATATAATATATATATATGGATTGTTTAACATGTTTTCACATGTTGTTTGATGAAGAGTCTAAAGTCTACATTGAGAACGTCAGCTCAGCTGACCTCGCATTCCTGTTCACCCCGACACTTGCGCGGAAATTTATCTCCTGTCTTGCAACTGTTTCTTCACTCCTCAAGGACATGCCAAGCACGTAATTACATGGTGATTTTTGTTTGACCTACCGGCTTTAAGTGTGGACCCAGCATTTGGAGCTTGAGAAACTAGATCGCTTGAGCTCTTGAAGAGGATTATGGAAATGTATCCTGTGCTCTCAAACGTTTTCACAGCATGTTCCGTTATGGAACTGGGATGTTTCTATGTCTCACGTGTTGAGCACAGCTGCAGCTCAACTGCATAACTGCCGGTGAGTAGGCAGTAGGTGTGCAAACGTACATCGCCCCACCAAACTCCGAACTTGTTTTTTGTCCTGGACCCAGGACCAGGCCCAGCAAGCTTTAGGGCGGCCCTCCCCGATATCTTACTTGATCCGATTGTGTCTCATCACTGGTAAGTTGAGTCTGTGCATTTCATGCTGTTCACTGTGTTGCTGTTTGCTGCGTCCCCCAGCAGCTCCACACATCTCAGGTTCGAGAGGCTGAACCGGCCGAGGGCCTGAACTCACGGCGAGGGTCTGAACAACACCGGACCGTGGCGGAAGGACATCCTCCGATGCTTCGATCCAAACAAAGGACATGAAACACCAAGCTGCATGAGGCATTCACCAACTTTTGCTTCCGGGATGCATTTCCTCCAGGCACGTCCGGACTTCCAATCCATGGGGCTTTGGCCGGACAAAGACTCTCCAGCTTACAGCCGGTGGTGTACAGAAAACGAGCCCAGGTCCAATCTGGGGCTTGCATTCCGAGCCTTTTGTACAAACCATGCCCCCAAAAGAGCCATTCAGCTGTTGTGGCTGGCCGGAAATCCTTGACAGCATGGAACCTGATGGTGGCATGCCCCTGTGTGCAGGCGATGTTTGATGTGCAGTGCTGCACTTGTTGCTATGGAAGAAGGTGAGTGCTCATGGGTTTCACATGGTGGTTTCTCAAACTTGATTATGTGCTGAGTATTTGCATGATTTTGCATGTTTTATGCATGTATACATATGGGGCTGAGATATAGTCTCGCAAGTCTTGGCTCATGCTGAGGCATCATTCACAGTGATGATATTGAGGATATGCTTACTCCAGCCAAAAGCGCATGAGTGCTGCATGAGAGACTCTACTTGCGTTAGTTGGACAACTGTGGGGTGCATCGTTGGGCCAAACAACAGCTTGTGCAACTTCAGCGTGTTTTTTGGGATTGCAATGGATTGCAGCTGTTGTTTGCCAAGGGCTTTTGTTCGCCGAGTTACTCTCGTTTTTGTGGGTGACTTCTGTGACTGTACGTTGCCCGCCGTATAAATAACCTGAGCCTGCTGTATTGACATGCACCACCCAGAGCTGGACATCCAAAAAACACGCAGTGGGTGATCGCAAGAGAATCGAAAGAGAACAAGGGGTGGCCGCCAGATGCTCGCCGCTTCCATGCTTGTCGTAAGACGGCCACCGGAATATGGCTGGAAAATGGCGAAATCGGGGGCGAGTGCGGTGGTCCAGAGATCCTTCTTTTTTGAACCTGAGTGACCCTTCTTGTCATAGCAAAAGGAAGGAAAAGGCCATGTTAGTGACCATGTTGTGGCTATAGGCTATAGTTCATCCTCCAAAGCAGTGGTCACTCAGGTTTGAGGTGTATACCAGGACCTTTCAACGTGGGTGGCTTTGGGTGTGTTGGGTGGCGTTTTCTTTCAAGCGACCCACACCGATGGATGGTCAGGGGCACACCCCAAAAGCCACCTATCTTGGAGGGTCCAGGGGGATGTTCGGGGCCCTTGGTCTTCAACTTCAGATCCAAGTTAAACAGGGGGGTTGTCCATACTTCCTTTTGTTTTTCTTGGGACGGTTCTGCACCTCTGAAGAGGTGAGGGTGTCCCTGTTGAAATTGTTTCAGAGGTATTTTTCTTTGCTTCGGTCTCCAAGGATCAGACATAGAAGAGATGGTAGGGAAAGAACACATTGAACACATGGTCCCAGCAAGGTCTATCTTTTGATTGTTGGGTCTCATGTTTGTTGCCAGGACCTCCAGGTAGGCGGCATGCACTTTGGTTGCTCGTCGAAGCTTCGAGCGGCTTCTTCACCGGCGCCGCGGTGTTCGTCCTCCGCCCGCCACGAAGTCGACCGCGACTTGGCCGCTGTGTATTTTACGCGTTCCTCGAGGTGTCCGTTTTGTGGGGCCCTCTGGAGCGTTACGACTCGGCATCGGTGGAGATACACCAGAAAGGTCCCCGTAACAAACCAGATTTCTTGAGCAGCAGCAGCAGCAGACCCATGTACTTGAGAACAAGTTCCTATAGCTTATTTGCTGCTGGAACAGTAGATGGTCAAGGGGGCATCATGACACACTCCAGAAAGCATGGAATCAAGTGGAATCATTTCCTTCGTGAATAGGACAAGGCATGGGAGTGAGGCTTGGCTTTGATAAGTTGATAAGAGGCCTTTGCGTTGGGCACCTGTTTTGGGATAGTTTTGCATACTACTGTACCAAAGGGCAGCCTTGGATGATGACGATGTTGATGATGATTAGAACAAACCTCTCCCCAAGACAGTGATAATATTCTACCGACTGTTACTGGCATATAATTGGACATAGCCGATACACTGGCCTGAAGTAGTCCCTGAAAGTGGCCTTGAAGCATTTTGAACCTGCTTTTTGCTGCGTTCGTACTGCAAGGATGTGAGTCTTCACTGATGAACTTGCATGCTCCTAATTCTTTTGCAGCCTTAAGTTCGGCACTGGCAAAGCGACGCGTGATTCACTCCACGCGCCCTCACATACATTTGGATTCGAGCGGGGGAGAAAAGATCAATCCGACGCTTCAAAGTGGGTTCAAACTCGGGCGGTTCCATTAAAACACCGCTGGTGTGTTATGTTAAGCCTGCAGCCCGCATGCTTCAAAATGCTTTAAAGTTGCATGCTATTATTTTTTCTCGGCGGCATGGCCACAATGGTTTTCATAGCAATCCTGAGGACATACCAGCATCGGAAACCCGTCCTGCCCTCTTGTGATTCAGTACCTGAGTAGTCTTCTTTACAGCGCGTGCTGTCGCGCACGTCCCCCAAACAGACGCGCCATCCCCTCACCCTACTGGTGAGTTGCGGAGATGCAACTTACCCCTGGCTGATCCCGCGGACCAACCGAAGACATTTGGATGTTGGAGACTGCATGGTAACAGTGGAACAGTGCATGGTTCTGTGGTTCCGTGGGCATTTCTTTGGAATTTTCAGCTCTGCCCTGCTTTTGAGGTAGAGACCCAACTGTTGCAAGGTTGCCCTGAAATATCTTGGACCAGCTCGTCTTTAGGAGATTTTAGGAGGAAGCTAAGGATCTGGGGGTATCCAGATTCTCCTCACAACTGCACTGCAGTGAGTTGCCCAACCCCGTTGTTTAACTAGCATGACTACTAGCAGCTGGTGAAACAGTTCCGACACCATCCCAGGGAACCAAACCACATCGACGGAGTCACAGACCCCACGAGCGAAGGGGAGAGAAACACACGGGAACGACCCATCTTTGGTCAGCACTGTGGGAAGAAAAAGCCAGTCAACAAATGTTCTATACTAGCATCTTGTTACTACTAGTAAGGCACCTGTTACTACTAGCGTGGCACTTGTTACTACTAGCTTCTTGTTACTACTTCAAGGCTTTCCTGTTTTCTTCCCAGCCTTGTCACTTTCCCATGCTTTTTCTGTAGGAGCGACCAATGCCTACGAGAGGCGAAGAAGGGGGGTGGGCCACCTGGGCCACCTGGAGGCGTACCCAAGAAGGGAGCGACGAACGGAGCAAGCTTCGACAGGAGTGAACTGAACTTGGGAAGTCCAATCAGCAACAGTCATCCGAATCTTCTTTGCAAGGTGATGCAATGATCAATGATGCGTCGGACAACCTTTGTGTTGCTTCATGTTGCTTCTTTGATCCTTGTAGACTAGCGCAGACTGACCGTGATCAATTGGACCCCCAAGGTTTGGGTGGGCCTAACAGATCACCGTTGGGAATGCTATGATTGACCATGTCCTAAGGCTCATGCCTTGAGTTAGTCCTCCATGTTGAGGCACTTCCTACAGATGTCTACGTGCTTTCAGTCCAGTCCCCCAAAGCACAGTCTTGTGCACCCCTCCCGACGGCTTGTCACACCTGAGGCTTCCAACCACTGCCCCTAACCTTTGACAAGTGGCATTTGGTATTTGAACTGGCATGCTTATTCGGGTTGCACGGGACAATCGTGAAGATTTCATAAGAATTCAAAGAGACACCGGAGACTACGCCCAGCGTTCTATGAACACCCTGACCCCAGTGGAACCAAACATTGGGCTTCCTGGTGTCCTTGAATTGTTTGTTTCAATCAATCCCGCGAATCTGCTTCAATCATTGAATGTTGACATCCTGGCATCCTGGCTCCGGGCAAGCACCCCCACAACAGAAGAGCTTTGGGTCTTCGGTGCTTTCACGTTCAGTAACAAGTGCATCGCTACTAGCAAGGACGCTACTAGCAACAGGTGCATCGCTATTAGCAACAAGATTCTATGCTTTTTGTTCTTTTCCTTTTCTTGTGCTTCACCCACAACGCGATGCGCCATCCCACACTGTCAGGCCTTCGAAGCCTACCCACACGACGCGGATTTGTGGCTCGGATTTCGGACAGACGGTCGGATTGAGGTTCATGACAAAACTTGAGGCCCCCGTTTTTTTTGCACTCTTTTTCTGATTCAACGGCGAAAAAGGACTCAAAGCCGGGAAAGACTCCCCACACAAGGCCTGGTTCAGTGGCTCTTGATGAGTTTTTTGCGGTCCTTGACTTTGTTTTTTCCTGCATTTTGGTTTAAGGGACGCCCAGTGGGCCAAAGGGCAATCCTGGGCCCTCTCTTTCTTATGAAACTAGAAGTGACAGTCCTTAAAATCTGTGGATTCAGTTGTGTGACACGTTCAGCTTCTTATATAATTACACGTACTTTATATATCGTCGGGAATGGATAGGAATGGTGTTCATGGTGCTGCAAGGCCTCCTCATGTTCGCGGTCATAGAGGAGTTTAATGGGCATATTGTGCTGCATGTGTGACCTCTCCTGAGTGAAAGCTTAAACACACATAAAGCTTATCTGGGTGATGGTTTCGGATAGTTTTATTTTCAACCCTTACTTGGGGATGATTGGACCCTCTGACTGATATTTTTCAAGTGGGCTGAAAACACCAACCAGTTATATGTACTTACAACAGACCGGCTACAGAGATAGATCTTCCAAGCTTGTGCTTTGTTACCTGTTTTTGAGGGGTGATGGTTTGGAATTTGGAAATGTGCACAGGTTCGACCAATCAGCCCTGTTGGGTCAACGAAATGCCACCACCATGGTAACGAAGATCACTGCCATGATGTTCATGCTTGTGGTATGTGGAAACCTATGGTTCTAAGGAGGTGTTTTTGCTGTGGTGGGGTCACCAACGCTCAAGGGGGTGTTTGGGGGGCCAATGAGTTCCATCCCAACTTCCAACCTGGGTAATCATTCACATCTGAGATAGACCCTGTTGGCCTATAATATCCAGAACTGATGCAGCCGAACTGGTCCAATGCTGTGAAGGACTATGAAGGATGCAGCCTTTAATGGCCTCGAGCAACGCTCCCCGCAGCCTGCAAGTGGATGTCAGAGATTTGCTGAGGCCAAGTTCCAGGCATGGTCATGGAGCTGCGGCAAGAGTTGCCATATGCCATAGTACAGGCACACCGGCATACCAGTGTTAGTACCTTCACTCCGGGCAAGGTTTTGGCCCCGCTCATGCTGGCAGAATCGGAGGAGATAGGAATTGGTTCGAATCAGCGCCCTCCACACTCTGTCCCAGCCACACCTACCTCTGTCATGTTCAAAACAATCAAAACCTATCAAAAAGAACAAAAATGGATCAAAATCAATGAAAAACATGAAAAATCAATCGAAAACTATCAAAACGGATGAAAATCAATGAAAATCCATCGAAAACAATGAAAAACAACAAAAAACATGTAAAGAACAATCAAAACCAACAAAAAACATGAAAAACGCACAGAATCAACAAAAAACATGAAAAATCAACCGAAAATCAACAAAATATACAAAGGACCTGCATGCAGGACTGTATGCTATATATTGTTATATGTTTGATTTCTGGAACGCACAGCCAGCCAGCATACCCCGTGCCAGGATTATTGAAACATATGTTCTTTACGATCATTGGTTCATATTGGTTCTATAGGTTCTACTCATACCTAGTCTACGGGACCACGCATGTTGCTCCTCGCTAGACTCTCCCCAAGCAGTTATACAAGTGATACATAGGTCCGTCCCCAGAGTAAAAGCGTGACCCCCTGGACCATCCCACGACAGCCTGTGGTGCATCTCCATCCTTCCAGGCTTTGCCCCAGCTGGAGGGAAGAGCCGGGGCCTCGAGCCAGCGCGGGCTCGCCGAATCTGAAACACAGCGCACGGGCGGAGCGCGTGGATCGGATCGTGTGGGGTGGTTCCCCCACAATCCATGGGACTGGAAGATGTTCTGACCCTCATGACATCGAGAGAAACCATCCATCCTGTCGGCAACATATTCCATGCATGATCATCATGCGGTCCCAGGTTATAGATATGTATATATGTATATATAAATTCATTAAAATAAATATATACAATATGTGTGTATAGGTCTCCATGCAGCTTGGTACATTCCCTCGACCTGAAGCATGCTGGCACCGATCGCTAGACGATGGTGGGCCCCCATGATGGGGTGAAACAAACACGTGTGGTGGACGAACGTCCACCAATCGCAAGGGCCGTCGCTGCTTTCGATTTTGAGAGGTTTGCTGATGCAGATGAACGCCTCAATTGCCATTGCCCGACCATTCTTTCAACTGAATCGCCCCATGTGCTAGACGAGCATGATTTTGGTGCTGCCAGCGGTGCTTTCTGCCCATTTATATACCAAACTGCAGAAAGTGGGCGACAGATAGGGGGATTCTGCGGACGCATGAATGAAAAGGCAGCTGCAACAGCAGGAGTTTACATGTGTCAGGATGGTCGATGGTAATTCTGAACAAGAATAACGCAAAGGGACCAACTGCCTTCATGCCCCTCATCCAGCACCTGTCGAACATATCTTCTAAAGCCATCTAAAGCCATCCTCAGCAGATTCTATCAGATTCTTTCCATCCCCGTGAAATTCCGCCCTTGACCTTTTCGTCTACATTCTGTGGAGGTTGCTCGTCCCGGACGTTGCCCAAACAAAGCATGAAACCACTGGGTGGTTGCTGGGATCGCCAGCCGTCGCCCAACCTTTGCCCGAGGTTGGGAAGCATGGACCACGCGAGAAAAAAGATGCCACGAAGTCATTCGGGGGGGGGGTGGTTGCAGGGCGTCGTTGCGAAGAGACTGAAGAGGCCACCAAGGGTGACGGAGAGATCGCCACCCGACCACGAAGGCGATCCCCAGATGGCGCTTGGAGGGTGCCAAAGATCCCCAGCACAGGGCTTGGGGACACCAACTGAGCTGCCTTGTGGCTTTCCTTCCATTCTCCCTCTCTTTACAGACTTAGTAATAAGTATTGAATGTCTCGAGATAATTTCTTGATTTGGCAGGTGTTAGGTTGGAGTTGGCCGGACAACAACTGGATGGGAGTGAGGCATGAGGCACGTCAGCCATGGTTTGAATTGTCCACAGTCACATGATGTCAATTTGTTTGGGTATGTTTGGGTGAACCATGTTAATTTGATGGAACAGTGAGGTCCCAGTGACTCTTGCGTGCTTTAAAATGATAATCACCAAAAATGCCTCAAGGAAAATTTGACAAGTTTTGACCAATTCATTGGTCTTGGTGTTCTCATAGACCAGCTGGTGTGAGCAAGTGTGTTTGGTTTCTGGCAGGCACCTTTTGCCTTTTTGTCCCATGTAAGAGGCAGGCTCAGTCAACATTTCTGCCTGCTTGTAACTTGGAATGTAGCTTTTGCACATTGCAGCTTGGCACTGCACATCCCTAATAATAAGAGGAACTGCAGGGTGGGGCCTATTCTCCACTTCAGTTTGGGGCATCGCACCGAGCAGAGTGCCTGTCACGCCGCCGCTGGCATGACTCTCGAGCAACAAGTCGTCCCGGCCGCAGCTTTCGAGAGTGCGTCGCTGAGCCTTCATCCCTTGAAGATGGTGAAGGGAAAGAGCAAAGGCAGCAAAGGCGGCAGTAGCTATGGAGGCTGGATGGCATGGCATGGTGGATAAAGAAACCCTGGGCCCTGGCTAGGACAAGATTGGTTTGGGAAAGCTAATTGCAACAGATCTGGAATCCGGACTGTATTTGTCCTTTATAAGGGTCCTTAAGGTTGAATCGCGATTTGTATGAAGATAATTCAATTCGGTTTAAGCACTATTCCAGCCTCATAGAAGTAGTTTTAAGTTTTAAGATGCGCTCGAACATATAGATATATCTCCGATCCTTTTAATAAAGATTGGCAATGAACAGGTGTCATGTTGATTGATTTGTGTGCGCCCTTTCCAAGAGCAATTCTGCTGACTCCCTAGGTGAGTGAGCAAAACTAGTTGAGGAACCTTGTTTGGTTTCTTGCTTTTCTTCTTGGCTTCCTTGGAGTCCTTGTCTTTTTAAACGATGCCCTCGAATGGCCATCCCCAAAACCGTCACTTCGCGCGTTTGGACTTGAGGCTACAAGGTCCGAACCAGCTTTGTCAAGACGAAGCCTGTGGCGTGGACGGAGCCCTCGAAGGGCTCGCGCAAGGGAGGGACGAGTCTGGGCGAACCGAGTTGGGCGGAGTTGGAGTCTGTGAGACTTCCGGGTGGCACATGGTGAAACGATGTGAAACGGATTCATTTCAGCCCCCTCCGTAAACATGGTCACAAACAATCATGTGGTCATAGAGCTCGAGTTGGTGTACTATAAAACAGCGATGGAGGCATGCCAGTCCGGTCGCTCTTTCGCGCCATCCGGGAAATTTAGAGGTTCAGAGGCTTTGGACACGCATGACTCATAGCATCTCATTGGGCCCCCCCGTTTCTGGTTGTGTTGGACACAGACCCGCAGCCTGGGTGCTATGCCGGAGCGAGTCTCGGTGGTCCGCCGTGCCGAGCGCCGTGCCGAGGAAGGGCAAAGGCGGCAAGGGAGGCGGAGGCAAGTGGATTTGGGTCGAGACGGAGGCGCCAGCTCGGCGCCCCATGAGCAAAGGCGGCAAGAAAGGCGGGAAGGCCACGGGTAAGGGCAAAGGCGGCAAGGGCAAGGGCAAGGGCAACTTGGAGTTGACTTATGAAATGCCGTCCGATCACAAGAAGACAGACGGGCAGAGACACTGATGCTCGGGTGAATTGGGTGAAGTGTTGCCAGGAGGGTTGTGATTATAGCTGTGATATGTTATGATTGTGTGATTCTTCTTTCAATCAAGGCATGAATTGAGAGTGCCAAATGGGGAGGGTCGGGCTCCAGGAGCCCCGGGCACGAACTTCTGACATTTTGAGACTCTTTTTGCCCAAGCAGTTTACTGCTCAAGTTCTCTCTTTAAAAACAGCTCTCACAGTCTTTGGCCGCTCTTTTGACATTGTCCTCCTCTTGTCCTTGCTGGCTGCGCTCTCAAACCTTGTGTCCTTCTTTTGTCCTCCTGGTGATTCTGAGGACCCAACCAGCATCATTTTCTAGGGCCCCCCTTATGAAACGTAGAAAAGAGAACGCCCACCAGGAGGCTCTAGCCTGGGCCCCATGCATTTGGACATGCATTTCCAGGCTTCCGTCACTGGTCGACCGGGTCGCCCCGTGTTCTCCGCCCGAGGTAAAGGCAAGAGAAGAGCTCCTGCTCTCACCAGCGAGTGGCTGGGAGGAAGTCGATGGATGTTTGTTCCACCATTTTGGGGGGAATGTGTGAGGGGTTCTTGAAGGCTTCTGAAATCCTTAGAATCCAGAAGGTGGGGCCTCCTGGGTCTCCAGTGTCCTGACACGTCCTTACCATTCAGAAGAACTGCCGAATCACACGATACGCTATGGAATCCAAGAATGCATTTAAGGGGGCGCCGCTTGCCATCTAAGGGGCCTCCCTGACCCTGCGGGGTCTCCTTAACTAACAAAGTCTAACAAAGCCCTGGGAGGGCGGTTATAGACATGGAAAAGATCATGCACACCTTCCAGCGGCTCCCTCAACAAAAACAGAGTTTGGGCCATTTGGGGCACCTGTTGGGCAGCCGGGTCCATTGGGGTCTACTATGGTCTACTGGGGTGACCACTGGGGTGGCATTGGCATGAGACACGGGTTCAATGTTTGGGGTGTTTTTTGCCCATGGACCTGGGTGGCACTTGCACCATAATTAACCAAAACATACCAAAACTCTTGGGCCCACTCTGCAGTCCAACAACGTCCAACACATCCTTCTGGCGAAGAGTCTTAAGATGCACCAGATTTCACCATCCTCTTCTTGCCTGCCGTTTTTCTAGCTCTAGCCTTCTAAACGTGGATTTCCAGAGAAGCTCAAAAGGGGACATTTTCGCTGCAGCGTCACTTCAGGTGCTCTAAGGCCGCAGTGTTCTGGTGTTCGAATGCCCTTGTTGGTGCATGCTTGTGCGAGGTCCTCCCTGGCGAGGTCCTCCCCCTGGTGCCAAGGCACCTCATGTCAAAGTTCAAAACTGATCGGGAGCCAGGCTCGCCAGGGGAAGCGACGTCAAATTCGACACCCTGAATCGACACCTTCCGAAGGTGACACACCTTCCGAAGGTGACGAAACTAGCATCCTGCAATCCTACAGGTGCACTTGGCCGCTGCCTGAAACCTGAATCTTACTGTTTCTGCATTTGTTTCTTTTGTTGCCGGCTTTTAGGTTTTGGACCAAGAAGGTTGAGGAGGAGAGTCGAAAAGAGTTGGGCGAGACAGCCTATCCTGGAGCCCCGGATGAGCATTGGCGCTACGGGGTATATACTGGCGAGGGCAACAAATCCATGTTGGAGGTGGCATCCAATTCCAAATTCTGCACATTGAACACGAACTCACCTTTCCTAAACAGCTGCGGAAATCCCGGATTGCAGGTGAACATCACCTGCCCACATCAGAGCAATCGAAATCAACTGAAGAGCTCTTTTGTTTCAACATGTTCCAACTCTGCTGCCCACGTGAACTGCAGTGATTAGATCTGAAGAAAGCTCGTTCTTTCCTCTAGACCTACCTGCGATCAACGCTCCATGTGAGACACGGTCAATGTGATCGTCCACTGCATGGTTTGTGTGACAGCGGAGGGATCTGGTCAAATCATCAATCTGCAGGCACCAAGTGGCTGCACATGTGCTATCCAAAGAAAGAGGAACCAAAGATCATCCTCACTGGTGTACTATCATCCCACCAAAGTTGCTCAAATCATCCTTTTTGTGGAACCATGTGGAAATGAAGCAGCCTTGAACGTTTGGAGTGGGACCACGGTGCGTTTCAGGTGCGTGAACGTCTAAGGCGTCATCCAGCGCTATAACGTGCGGCAAGGATGGGGCCTCATTCGGCCTGACAATCTCGCAGGCGCGATGAGTGGCACCGAGTTGGGCGGCCGTCGGAAGCGACCGATGGGCACCGCTTATTGGGTATACCACCCGACAATGTGGCTACAACTTTGCAGATGAGTTCTGTTCGAGGTGTTGGGGACAAATGTTGAGTAACTATTTGTGTTGCATTGGTGGCATGTGACAACCAAACACTTTTTCCTGGGAATGCTTGGGGATGTGTTTTGTTCATAGCCGGCCCCTTGGAATCTCCCAAGCTCTTGCTGTCGAATCGAGTGAAGCAACGTCAGAGGTTTGCCCGGACAAGTGAAGAAGAAGATCCAAGAAGCAGAAACCAAGGCAGCGCGACTATCCTTGGGGTGTGAAAAAGCCTCGTGGACTGGCGATTAGAGGATTTTGGACCATGAGAATGTGATGCAATTTAATACGTAACTGGGTGGACGTTTGAGGGATTTTTTATTTTTTTGTATTTCTGCAATCTTTTTACCTATCAACAGCTCGCCCTTTACTGTAGAATTTCGGCTCAAATTAAAATCACGTGATAGGTGGAACCTGACAGACAAACTCCTGAAATCAGGAGTTTGTCTGTCAGGATTTGGTGCGGTCCACAGTGAGAGGGGGGGTAGGACATAATTTTAAATCAGAATTAGAGTCATTCATTTGCCATTGCATGAATTGTCAGTGTCATGTGTCATGTGAAGTCATGTTTCCTGTTGAAATCGTCGGCTCCGTTTGACTTGAGGCTGTCTTCATGTCTTGGTCAGCTGCCCAGGATCACATGCCATGTGCCATATGCCTCAGTTTCACGCATTCTGATTCGAGTCTAGAGCCACTTGTCACTTGACAATGAAAGAGTCAGTCAGAAGATTGCATTAGTGGTAGATTCGGGAGTGCTTCATTCAATTGACATTGTCACATGCCACATGTCACACTGTTGAGGTCCGACCGGGTGCTTTCTTCAAGGACTATGTCAGAGAAGGCGAGATTGAGATCGAGTCATTTTGTGCAATCACTTGTCAAGCATTTTAAACTTGCAAACATGTGACAAGTGAGAAACATGTGTCATGGTGACAGTTGACAGTTGAGCTGCCTTTCAATGATATTCTTGGATCAAGTTGACACATGAGGCGTCACAGTCACATGTCACATGATTCCAACACATGACACATGCCATGTCACATGCCGAGTCACATGTCACATATCATACAATTGCCATCGTGAATGGACGAGTACGATCAGCCATCGCGTGCTGAAGAGATCCTGGAGGACGAGGGGATTGACACCTCCGTGTGCACGGAGAAGATGCTCGATTGCACTGGGTGCTTTTGTGACTGTGTTCGGGCTGTGTTTGCGAGCATGAACTTGATTGAACTCAGGAAGTGCGTGTGGGTGCCTTTGCCGAAGTTTAACCCCCTTGATCATTTGTCATGTGTCATGTGTCATGTTTGAATCATGTGTCATGTGTCACTTGCTCAACCCTCTTGATCTCAGGCACTTTATTTGCTTCATTTGGCAGATAAAAAGGCTGCTGTGAATTTGGTGTGTCTTGGCAGCGCTGTGGACATCTGAACCGGCTCATGCTCACAACTCATTGAATGTTTTTGAATTTTCGCCTTGCCAAGGGCTGCCTTCAAGAGAGCTGAGCCAACTGACAAGTCTGGCTACATTTTGAAGGGTGTTGAGAATGCACTCAGACAGACTCCTGGAATAAATCATGTGCTGTGTGTGTGTCGCTGTGTCAAACTACTTATTATTGTAAAATGACATGTGGCTCCTTGCTTGTCGTGTCTTTTTAGCAGCTGAGGTGTGACACCGTCGCAGCCTCCCTCCGACAAGCCGGCCCATCCAAGTAGCATATGGGATGAGGACTATTGGAATGATGTGCCACCTCAGGTTGACGATAGTCACATTCCTGCTGCATTTGCCAATCGCCATGTGCCAGTGCCAAACAGCCCATGGCAAGATCCCAGCACTGCGTCTCGACTGATGTTTCAAATTGGCTTGCGCGTCAACTGATTTGTCATGTGTCATTTGTCACACCATTGTCATACTTTGCTGCTGAGGTGGACTGGGGCAAGGCGTGGGAGACCAAGACCGTCGTCACGCCAAAAGGCACCTCAGTGGCCTGGTCCTCGCAACCCATCCTGGTTGTGGCATATGGCGCAAGTGACAAGTGCCTGAACCAGGCTCATGCTGGGGATGTTGCTAAGTCTGAGTGTTTCATCTTTGAGTCTTTGAATGTGCGTTTTCATATACAGAACTCTTAGCTCATTTTGCCATGTGCCAGATTGGCTGCACGATCAACTCTTGCCATATCCACACGGTGGCTGATCTGGATTTGGCCCTCGGCTTCAAGGAGTCCGAACGTTGGGAACACCGCCTTGTGCACTTGTTGCACACGTCCAAAATGCCACCCGCTTGCATTTGAGTTTGCGCACGTAAGATGTCACATATTTCAAATTTCAATGTTTTATGTCACATGATCATTTGCATTGACTGAGGTCACATGAGTTTTGCTCACGTGAAAGCGGTGTCACCACTGCAACCATGAGGGAGGTGATGTCACATCCTGACTTCCTCAATGTCATCGAGGACATTTTGTGCTTCCCGACCCGGGTTGTGCGGAGTCTTGACTGCAGCGATTGACACGTGACAGGTGGCCAGGTGTTGCTAAACTGTGTTAAAATGTGCTGTCAAGAGACACGTGACAGGTGGCCAGGTGTTGCTAAACTGTGCTAACATGTGCTGTCAAGGTGCTGCTGTTCGTCTGGCTGGCATCGTGCTCCATGCACCGCCACTGTGGTATATGCCATTTTGAAAGTGCCTGGACTCTATTCGAGGGGTGAGGCATGATGACACATGATTGAGCCATCTGAGATTCAATATTAAAATTGTTTACAATGTGCTTCAACTAAGGCTTTTGGCTGCCATGTTCTCATTGGGTACCAGCAGTTGGTTTCCGAGCGTCAATTTTCACAGATGTGCGTTGGCATGCACGCTTTCTACAATGAACAGGAGACACTGAAGCATAGCTCAATTAAACTGATTCTGCTTTGGTCCTGTTGCGTGAGGATTCCTTGGGTAAATTGTGACTCGATTTCGATTTGTCATTCGGCTAAGGGAGAAGGCTCAGCTGTGGTGTTTGCCACCTGCCATGTGGGCCAATGCCGCTGGAAGTTTGGAGAATGTCAGCATCAAGGCGTTGGAGATCTTTGTAGACTCATGGAACCTGCACCGGTGCCTCGCCAGCTATGATGTGACGCATCGCACGCATTGCTGCCATTGTTGTTCATCGCTGTTGATGTCCCATCTTCCAAGGAAATATCAGCATGTGATTCCGCTGATCGAGATGCAGGATTCTGTGCCACCTGCGCAAATGGCATCTTGTCTCAACCGATTATACGGTTCGGTTGGTTCAATATTGTCACATGTCACATGTCACCATTGATGACTTAAATGCGTGCTGTGCAAGGCATCTGTTGCAACTCCGGCGCAGGCAGCTCCAGCACAGCCACCAGCACCGCCAGCTCCAGCACAGCCACCTCGTCCATCACAGGCAGCTCCAGCACGGGCAGCTCCCTCACAGGCAGCTCCAGCACAGCCACCTCCAGCACAGGCAGCTCCAACACAGGCAGCTCCAGCACAGGCATCGGCGCCATGCAGTGAGGTGACAGGTGGCCAACCCAGCCCAGTGGACCAGGCATCCAGCCAGCAGGCATCCAGTCACCAGGAATCCAGTTACGTGCCGGGTGACTACGTGCCAGGTGACCAGGCTGACATTGCCAACGCCCCTTGGAGGAAAAGGTTGAGGGTTCCAGGGCCACCACCAGGACCACCTCCTCCTGAGAACATGCCACATGCGTGGCCTTGTCGTGGTGATGATTGGTGGCACAGCTGGTCCGGCGGCTGGTGGTCTGGCGACTGGTCAAGTGGCTGGGAGTCACATGCGTCACATGCCAATTGGCATGATGACACACGGCAGGAGGATGTCAATGTGGAGCAGCAGGACCAGAACCAGGACCAGGTGGCACCTGACAATCCTGCCGATGTGACACATGATGGTGACGAGCCAGATGCGCCAGAGTCGCCAGAGGAACCACGGCCACCTTCGCCACGTGGCCCGATGAACTGGCTCCAGGATGATGAGGTGTTGCATCTCGATGGCAAGTTAGATTATGTCAGTCAGTCATTTGTCATTTGTCATTTGTGATTTGTCAGTGGCATGCATTTTTAACTTAGGGAAGAGATCTACGCCTACTACAATGTGTCACCATCCGTCGCTTCCAACTTGACACCATTGCCATTTGTCACCAAGCTCAAAATATTGCTACTTGGCTCCACTAGTGACGCGAGACATTTGACAAGTGACGCGTGACATTTGACAAGTGACAAGTGACGCATTGCCTTTGCTGATCGGCAGGAGTCGGCTGCTGCACAAGATTCCCAAAGATGACACCGACTCATTTGACGCTTGGTTGATGAACGCTATCAGCAACTCGGCTATCAATGGGGCTGATGTTTTAAACAGACAGACAGACAGACAGACAATGAACCAAGTGACAGTCGAGAGACAGGTTTTCTTTGACGGAGGCAACGAGAAGCATGGCTTTGGGACCAGGGCATACTGCGATGATAGCCAAAGTTGCAGCAGACGGAGCCAATTAGAGCTGTGGTGGCAGTGGCCATTTGCCACGTGTCAACTTGCCACGTGCCACCACCAGCAGCCGCACTTGAGTAGTGTCTAAAACTAGTTTAATGTAAGATTGTCTTTTTGGTACATGCGGCTGTGAAATCGAATCAGCGCACGTTTTGGCAAATGGGATTGCGAGGCATGCATTCACTTGAGATTCAAATTTCACATGTTCAACATGTTTCAGTGAAATTGTGTACAGTCAGTGTCATGTGTTTGCATCTTGTAGCCCAAAGCCCGTTCATTGCCGCTGATTGCCTCAAAAAGAGTCTGAGTGGAGTGGCGGACTGACTGAGTCAAATGTTTGTGTGACATCATTGACAACTGATTGCATGACAATTTAAGCTGTGACTTCCATTGAACCAAACGGACAGGCCTGGTGGCAGTCAGATGCAAAGCAGGGAACTCAGGGTAGCAAGGGGGCTGACATGCAATCAGTGAATGTTTTTTGTTTTTATCACAATGACAAGTCTTTGGTGTTTCTTTGCGTTTCTTTGCATCGATGTTCAATGTCCAGATGAGTTTGAGTCAGTCAAATTGGGCACGAGGCTTGAACTTCCATCATTGACGACCACATCTTGACTGGTTTGCGCCCCAAACCCGCGGTTGTTTGTTGGCTTGAGTGAGATGAGTGAAAATGAAGCACTTG